GACAATTTCAGAAAAACCCATCCCCAAGTCATCACCACTTTGGGATGTTTACCATGTTTACCATCCCCAGTTGTGATTTTTCATGGATTTAAATGGTAGGTTTATGGCGCCTGCATTGCCACCCATTTATGGCGCCAAAATGATGATTTGACCTATGCCATAGGACCAATGCTGGAGTTTACGAAACAAAGGGAGCATTACCTGAAGCATGGTCCACATGCTGGTAGACAAGGTAAATTTTTAAATATATTCAATGGGAATTCCAGGATCCTAAAATGGAGGTACTGAACCATATAAGGCCATATTTTGGGGGGATATCCCCTTACATAGCCCTTATATAGGCCTTATATATGGTAGGTACCTCCAATCTAGGATCCTGAAATGGCCATTGATATGTAAATATTCCATATATGAACATATGCGATTTCCAGCATTGTGATATATTGGAGGGATAACATGAGAGCAATTTTTTGCAGCTTATCGAGGAGAACCAGGGTTGAGGGTTAAATAGAAAACCCACGCGACAACTCCAAAAAGGGTGCACCTGATTGTTGATGGTGACTGTCTGTGACATTCAGTAGTCTGGGTCAAGGCAGTGATAATTTTTCCAGGCCTTCGCATGGCCCCAGTGGCCCCTTTCGGACCCATTTTGGGGGCACCTTTCATATCCTTTCATGTGGTGGACTCATCCTCACATTTTTTCATCCTTTGTGAAGTGCAAGGTTTCTTGCCCGAAGTCCGGCTCTCAGACCACGGCAACAACGGCCACACTTGTTGCGTAGGCCGTTTAAGTCAGAAAGACTCCGTCTCAGGTCATGATTCTTGTGAGGGCAATTGGTGCTGCAACACGCTCTGTGATTCTCACAGCACGGCACTCAGGAAATTCATGCTCGATCTTTTGTAAAAGTAGGAGTAGGTAGGAGCAGGAGCAGTGGCAGTAGCATTAGCAGCAGTAGCACTAGCAATAGCAGTAGGAGTAGCAGTAGGAGTAGCAGTAGGAGTAGGAGCAGGAGCAGGAGTAGTAGTGGTGGTGGTGGTGGTGGTGGTGATCGTCGTCGTAGTAGTAGTTGTTGTTGTTGCTGCTGTTGCTGCTGTTGTTGTTGTCGTTGTCGTGGTGGTTGTGGTGGGGGCGGTGGTTGTGGTGGGGGCGGCCGCGGCAGCCGGTGTTCGCAAAACTGTTGTTTTCCCGGTCTCCACGAACTTTGGGTGATGCTTGGGGCTTCTTGGAAGGATGCCTTTTTGTGGAGTGAACCATTCCGATGCCGGAAAAAAACATCTGAGCAGTTTTCAAAACCCTTGGTGGATGATTTTAGGGGAGTATAACCCATAGGATCCATGTATGGTATATATGCTAACATTGGGGGTATATTGATGGGATCCATGTTACCATTAATATAGCAACACCATGGATCCTATGGGTAATGGAATATAATGTCAACCCCGGATTAATAAACCATTGTTTATTAATTAGGGGGGCATTCCCCCAATAGTCATAATCTGATATTTAAATGGTACCCTCCCAATTAAACAGCCGTTTGGGGTTTATTCATCCAGGGTTGACATTACTACCGAAGATATGTGGCATCAGACAATTCCAATATTGGGCTTTTACCAATCCATTCCAGGAATGGTAATCCTAGGGAGCCCAGCATAGCCGTAGCCCAGGTGCTCCTGGGCTTGATGATCGTCTACGTTCCAGCCTCAAATCGAACATGGCGGGGGAAATCCCCAAACTCCGGGGAAAAACCGAGGCTTTTTATGTGGGGATCACCTAATCTGAATCCACAGACATTGGTAACTCCTCCATGATTCCGTGATGATTCCATCTTTTTCTTCTAAAATGGATAGATCTGGGTAAATTACAGTGACCTCACTGTAACCTCACTGTGGCCTCACTGGAATCATGGTTACTAGGGGGAATCAACCCAAATCACCTTATTTCAGGTCAGTGAATTCTTCTAATTTACCCAGATTAATGATTAATGGATTATTTGCCATTATTGACCATTATTAACCATTGTTAACCAGTATTAACCACCCAGTATTAACCAGTATTAACCACTATTAACCACTATTCAACACTATTAACCAGTTTTTCAGGTGGTAAACTTCACCCCCCTTTTCGGTGGCCAAACACATTACATTCTCCAGGTCTTTGCGATCGCCTTCACACAAGTGGCAGTGGATACCCCTGCGGGCCATGCATATTTCAGCTCCCTACCGCAGGCCGTGGTGGTGGGGTGACGACCAGGGGACCTGAAAAAGCGTTCAGTTGGGGTTCACAGAAAACTCCAATTTCACTATGGTTTATGAGTGGGACCTGAAAAAAACCTAAGTTGGTGAACAGAATTCCAATAACTATGGTTTTAATGATACGCAAATAACTATAGTTACTATAGTTCATTGGGATTTATAAACATTTATAAACCAACTAACTTATAACTGGGGGGGCCCACATTGTAGGACCATAGGACCATAGAGTGCCAGATTCGTGCCATGGAGAGAAGTGGCTTTACCTTTTCCAGTTCAACGCTGGGATGGTTTGTTGCATCGTCACAGGGATTGCTGGATGCCCACTAAGCATCACTAAACAACATAGATGTGGGTTTGCCATGGTTTGGCCAAGCATAGGCTACCCCCAAATATATATATATATACATTTGCAATGTTCCTCAATAATAATGTGTAACACACACACACAGAGGTATACCATTTCTGAACTAACCCATGTCCAAAATGTCCAGCTTGAGCCAAATTACTTGGTTGATTAATGAAGACCAGTAGGTTTCTACATTCCATTTTCTACAACTCTTCTACTGTATGTAATGGATTGCATTTGTGATGCCCAAAGGTTTTCTTCCCAAACAGACATGACTGAAATAAACCCGAAAATGTACAAGTCACATCCCAAACGCCATTCGGTAATCAAACATGGAAATGGAACACCCCCCCATCTGTAGATGATTTTCCCATCATATTGTCCATCTAGTTCCGGCATTTCCCAGCCATGTTTGATTACTGAGTTGGGTAATCTGTTGGCTCCAAATCCATGAGCCATGGCAGGTAAACCGGCAGGTTTTCATGGCACTGGTGCATAGGGGGATTCTTTCTGCGTCCTCTTCATGCAGTAAGATTTCATGTCCTTCTGAAAGACCAGATTCGTTGGCAGTACTTCGTTAGCCATGTGCTTTCGGGTGTGGAAAGGGGTAGCAGATGGTAGCAGATGGTAGCAGGCCATGTTCAGCTTGATCTTCAACGGCTGCTTCAACAACAATTTGGTGGAAATGGCACGGCTGTCGTTTCAGGCGCTTCATGGCGCTTCGTCATCCCATGGCAGGGCGTGTTTGTTTTTTTCATCCCAGGATTTGGGGCCCAGAACCATCGTCAGGACGACCTGGTCGTCAGCTTTCTGTTTGTCGTGGCCACAGAAAACGGTTTTTGCAGTGGCCGTGATTCTGGGTTTTTAAGGTGAAAATTTGAATGGCAATGGTAAACAATAATTTGCAGAAAAGGAGATGTGTTTCACAACCCAAGATGTTACATGTTCATGCATTTTCTTTATCTGGTAATGTTTCACAAGGTTGCCACACATGGTGGCAGAAGCTTCGGCCTATGTTTCCATGTTTTCCAAGGCAGGCTTTCTGCTCATCGCGCCTCTCACTGCCACTTGGTCGTACAGGAGGTTATGAAATCTGATGCAGTGAATGAAACAAACACCATAGAGCCATCATTCTATGCTCTCTCTCTCTATATATATTAATTATATATTATATATAAATGAAACAAACACACACACAAACACAAACACAAACACAAACACAAACACAAACACAAACACACATGTATATATATATATAATATAATAGTGCAATCACGTAGAAATCAATTTGAAATCATCAAACCCAGTTGATTTCTGGAGGCCTTCAGGTCACTGCACCCAGATTTCAGGTCATGAATCTGCTCCTGGGGGTGTTGGTCGAAGTTCAGCCCTCAGAGAAAAAGATAGAAAAAGAGTTGTTCTTGTCAACCATGGGCCGCAATGTGGAGAACACTCCATCAAAATTGGTAGTCAACAAATAGTTTAATTAGGTTTAGATATAGGCAGCTTGCACTCATTTTCAACGCGTTTTCTATGGAAATGGGTCGATCTTTTGAAGTGGCTCATATCTTGTGGCAGCTTGTGGCAGGGGGTGCGCGTAGTAGCTACTGCAGAACAGGAGGGCCGTGTCGTGCTGGGAGCCCCGGTGGTTCGCTCCAGCGAGTCGACATCCGCCAGCTATGACTTGGTACATCGACCGGGATCATCCAGGTTTTGAAGGGTGACCCAGAAGGGACATTTTAGCTGTTTTTCAATAGTGATTCGCAGAATTTGAGAAACAATGCGCAGTGAAATACCTGATTACCAGTTATCTACTTATACTTATATAATCTTATATAATTACTTATTATTCATATTTGTTCATTTGGTTACCTAATATTCATCTGGTACATCCTTGGCTTCCGTGAGACACCAGGTCCAGGTCTCTGGTCTCAGGCGCAATCTGAAAGAGGAGCTTCACTACGCTAAAGAGGCCATGGGTGCAGATGACACGACCATCAGCCAAGAGGACGGCCGCGAATCGCCTGGATTTTTATTCCGGGGAATCCCGGTTCTGAACAGGGAAAAAACGACGTGTTGATTTTTTGGATATAAAAATGATCAACAATAAATTAAAATCATACAGGTATATAAAGGTACTCATGATTCCTGATTGCGTCTTTGGATAGATTTTCCAGGGAAGCCTGCTACTATCGTTTTGGGAGATGTGTCGAGACTCAATCAACGGCACTTGTATTTGATAAGTCAAGAGAGCTGGCTAGGACCGAACCGACATCGACTCACCTGCGGCAAGGGCGTGTTCAGAAATGCACTTGCATGTAAATATGATGTAATTTGTATATGGTATACGGACAACATATATATATATATATACCTGCAGCCTGAACGTCCTTTGTTTTTGAAGGTCTTTCAAAATAACCGTGTTATTGAGACAATATCGCTGAAATGCAGCAAAGGGGCGGAAACCACCAAAGGGACGGAAAATGAAGCTTCTCGAGGAAGATTCAAAACTTATCGATATTTATCATAGAGATGAATATCCTGCAGTATTGTTCTTCTATGTTTTATAGACATTTGGTACTATGTTGGCCACTCAATGTTTTCCCATCTGGCCACATCTGGTGCCCTCGCCGCTCTTTTTCAAGTGAGCGCTGGTGAAAGATCTTTGACCTGAATGCTGCTGCGTTCGGCACCAAGCCATTGGTGGAATGGGAAGTGGCCAGGGGAATTTAGAATATATCAGTGGGTGTTTCAATGCAGTGTTCTACAATTGAATGATATGGGGTCAGTATCAGGTATATTGTCTTGAATTGCAGTGGCTTAAACCTGGGGATTTCACAGGCACAAGAAATGTGCACAGATACAAAACAACTAAACATATATGTTATATAATGTGTTGTTTCATTATATAATTGAACCCGAATGAACTTCACCACATCATTTGGATCTTTGGCTAAGAGAATGCATACCTTTTTTCTATGACAACATCAGGTGGCTCAACAATATTACTTTGAACACGAGTTCATGGCCACATGGGCATTGACACATGCAACTTCTTTCATTAAAAAGAACATCATGCGCAATCCCTGCAGCCACCTTGGTGCAACATTTAGATCGGTGAAACTTTTGCAAATCTTTGTGAACCCATGGCGGTGAAGGTAGATATCCAGGATGTCTTCGTTGAATGGGAGGTTGAGAGTGACATCCGGGGTCGTTTTCGTCGCTCTGGACGTATGTTCATTCCCACTCCCAGTGGTGAGTTTCCCTGGGTCAACATCAAGACAGCTGGTCGTCACTTTGAGGTGCTATTACCATTAGTGAAGGCCATGCGCCAGCCTAATGATGAGCTGCCCATCGGGATGGTTACCATTTCAGACTTGGAGAGGGAGTAGCTTGTCCAAATTCTAAATGACCGATTTTACTTTAGATTTATTGGTGGGGTTGTTGGTTCCATCTCATTGCATGTTAGTACCTTCTACTTCCACTCTTGCACTACCTTCGCATTAGCATTGTTTGAGAAACACCGTGTGGATCTTTGATGTTTATGTTCATGATTTGTTTCCAATGAGGTTTTACTGTCTTACACCTGTGCACCCTTCACACACACACACACTCAGCCCTTAGGATCACTAGCCTTCATGAGACGGTTCGCCCCGGACAAACGATTGACAAGACCATTGTCCATGGAGAAGCATGGCTTTGCAAGAAGTTTTGTGTCCTTGTGAAGAGAAAACTTTCACGCGGTCAATATTGCCGTGATCCTCGTTTCCGAGCTTTGCTTCATGAGCTTTCCCCTCCCGAGGACATATTGTTGTCAAAAAACAAAAACACTTAACTTAGCATTAAGTTTGTTCTCGGCAAAGGCTATTACATTACATTTAGGGTTAGCTGAGAAAATACATTTTGTTCATAGCAAGATTGTTGGCTCCAATCCAGGACACCGAAGACCACGATGGCCGCTCTACTTCGGATGATTCTGATGCCAATGTTGATGATGATGACAACGATGATCATGCGGGAGGGCCTGTCCATGTGCCAGCTGAGGAGGCCATTGTCTTGGATGATGATGATGAAGTTGACCGAGAGTGCGATGGACCAAAGGACCCGGCACAGGAGCTTGCCCACCCAATCGAACCGGTTATCCCAGAACTTTCCAGTCAGCGCATGGATGAGGTTGATGAATGCCCTATGAACGGGGATGAGGTTTTGACAGGTGATGGTGAAATTCCACTGACCCAAGAAGCAGCAAAAAGTCCCCAGCAGGAAGACAATGATTCCCAAGAAGAAGAGTCATGCCCCACTAATTTGCTGACTTCGTTTGATGATGCGGATATCAGTGAGGATGAGGAAGAGAAAGATGCCCCGCAAAAGCCTGATTCTGAAACCCAAAAAAATGAGGACAAACAAGATGCAAAACACAAACCCGTGACTGAGAAGAAAGGTTGGAAAGATTTGCCAAATACCAAGCAGCCCAGCATCCCCTTCTTAGAGAAAAAACTCGCAGCACTTCGCAGGCAACAAACTGCTTCGCTACTAGGTTCTATTTAGTTTCACACAAATTTCTTTACGCTATACATGAGTAACCCACTGTTTCCCTTTTGTTTGGTTTGTAAGCTTCTAGGTAAATCCCATGTTTTTTTTCACCTTGCTTACCTGGCTTAATTTCAAGCTTCTATGTTCTGCAAGGTCAGCCAAGAAGTCCGTGCCTTCCAGTTCCTCCTCAAGTTTGAAGGATGAGGTTGTGGTGGTGAATGATTCCTTGCCCTATGGTGAGGATAATGCTGAGACCCAGGAACCTTTGGATGATGTTGAAGATATCATGAATAGACTCAAAGCAGAAGCTCCCCCGATTGATGAAGACATGTCCGAACATTCAGCCACATGTCCAATCATTTTGTTTGCTCCCGAGTTTTGTTTGATAAATGTATATTTCAAATTGTTGGGTAAACCAGCTTCAGCTTCCATGGTATGGGACATGTATCTTTACCCTTGGCACTTTTTAATACCATTTGGTTTTCCCGACAAAGAAATTACCACAGTCTTACCACAATTTCTTTTCTTGGGGCTATGCGTCCCCTAGGTCTTGCGCCGTCAGCAGCTTCATATCAAGGCCAGCTCGATGGATGACGGAGATGGTGATGACAATGCTTTGACGGATGGCAAGACGGATGATGGAGGTAAGAAACCCAAAGGAAAGGGTAAAGGCAAAGGTCGAGGTGGTAAGGGCAAGGGAAAAGGCAAAGGGAAGGTGAAGAAACCTACTTCCACCAAGAAACCAGGCAAAGCAAAGAAGACTGAAAAGGAGCAGTCCCTTGAAGGAAGTGCAGGTTCGGAGCCAACAAAGAAACACAAGAGAAAATCCAAGGAAGCAGATGTGGGAAAGGATGTGAGCGAGGGGAAGGAGACTGAGGAGGGAGGTGAGGCACCCAAAAAACCCAAGAGGGTTAGGAATCCAGGTGGTTCGGTGACCTTTGCCCGTCGCTACAAACCCAGCTCTTCGTTTGGGGCAGCCAAGTGGGATGCTATCCGAAACGCGTTTGTGGCCGAGATCAAACCACACCTGAGCAAATTCTCTGAACACGAGGCAGTGGGTTTTTGCCGAGTTTAGGCAACATGCAAATTTCATTTTTTTTATGTTTGTTAAATATTCATTTCACTTGTCAATGTAAATACAAATATGTTTGTTCAACCCCATTTGTTGTTAATGGTTCTAACTTTAACTAGTTGATATTACATCCTAGCCTCTCCGGCTTCCCTGTTTCAGGATCACTTTTGGATGTTCTGTGGGAAAGAGTGGGAAGGGCAGGAGGTTTCAGAATCAAATGTTGAAGCTGCAGCCATCAGAGCTGCTCTTGACTATGTGGCAACCAAGGTTCAATTGTAGGATGGGGTCCCAAGACTGGGGATAGGACTGGGGTTTCACGGAGATGTCTTACCTTCAGGTGTCAACTGTTGAATTGAAATTGTCATGGATTATGCGTGGTTCACGATGTTATTTTGGTAGTGATATAGCATTCATTTGCGCACCCCCAGCTCCAGTGGGAAACCCCGTGTTTTGTTGAAGAAACGCTGGTGGACGGATGCCAGTTCAAAAATGTCTTTTGGCATCAGTGCCAGGTAGTTGCAATAGGAGTCCATACACGCTTGTGAGTTTCACCCTTAGGAAGGTTTCAGCTGGCAGTAAATCTATTCCATATAAATGTCTATTCACCCATTTCTATCCCATTAATAAGTATTGGTTTAATATGGTTTAATTAATTTTCTGAAATATACTTACTTGTTTTGTTGACGTCTTAGTGGCTGCCACGCTGAACGACCTTCATGGGTGCATGGGGATACATGCGTGAAGATTTGTGCCTCAACCTGGTCACTGTCAATTCCAATTGCTGGATTCAAGCGCGAGCGGTGAAAACAAACGGGTGGTTATTCTTGGGATGCTGGGTGTTCAAAAGGATTGTAAATTCTTAACTCTCTTTCTTTGGTTATGATTCTTCATATGAGGCTAATCACAACACATGATTGGATTAGAAATCAAGCCCACTACCTTAACCTGAGGAGCATTGGAATTTAGCAAGTTCCAAATTTCAAATCCACCCACCTTCCTTCCAATAGCCCTGTGACACCCTGTGACTCCCAGCATGTGTCAGCCCAGGTCTGCATGGCGAGGCGTGGCGAAGCCTGGCGGCGCAGGCTGCGGCTCAACATTGACCGGGGTGTGGCAGAAAGACGTCGGTCAGGCATGTTTACATCTCTTAGCACTGGTGCGCTATCTTCTATTTTTTTGGGGGGATCTCTTGGCAAGAGGCCCAATGCATATAATCACTGGGGGATGGCCACTATATAAGACTGCAGAAACATTTGGACCAAACAGGTGCTCCTAATTTGGTGGTTGCAAAGATGACCGCCATGAGAGACCGACCACACCGTGTGGAACGTGCCATGAAGCAGCTGATGACTTTAGGTGCACCAAAGGCGGGCCAAACCGATAGCTCTAAAGATCCCAAATCCCAGAAGATACCTATTTATATTTTCCCTTATAGGGTACATATCATTTGCCACATGAGCACGATGACTAATGATTATATATTAGACGAAAGGTTCTGTGGATCAACTGATTCCATTTGGACAAGCCTTAAACTGGGTTGGTGTTGGATTTCCTTCTGTTCACACCAAAAAGTAAATGTGTTACAACAGATTGGATGGCAAAAATATCAAGTTAGATTTAACCCATCTTAAAACCTTTGTTGTTCAAAACCTATGCAGGTACTCTTGGCTGCTGTGCTGATGCTTGCAATGAGCGACAATATTGACTGCTTCAATGAGGCTTGGTGTTGGGGCAAGTGCAAAGTAAAGATATTAGGGAAAGGAAACCATATATGGATTATATATATATGATATATTTTAGAAACACCAAATTTTCCCAGGTTCTAGGAGAAAACTTGAAGCATATGAATGCATCTTTCTTGGATTTCCAATTCAAAAAATGTTATGCATCCCATGTATCTAAATTTGGAGGGTTCATGTTTAATGATTCTTGTGATAGATGTGAAATTACACTGCATTTTGCATATCAGATACGCACATTCTTTTTGATCTGGTGGAAATTATTAGTATTGGGTTTGGATAAAAACAAAATACAAGACCACAAAGTGTTCACTCCAGATTAGGATTTTCACTGTTGGGTGAGGGCTACACTTTTATCGAGCTGTTCTGTGGACAAGCTTGGACTTCGCGGTGCATGAGGGTGGAACAGCACTTGGTGGCATCTCTGGATATCACCAGCCCTTTGCTTGGCCCCCCTGTTCCCAATAAGCAGGATGCAATGGACTTGAGCTCTGATGCTGGTATGGCGTCTGTTGGTTGAACAATCATATATCGATATATTCAACTGTATCTATTTTTCTTTTTAAAACAAGGTTCTGGGTTGAAACAGGGATGAAACATCCAACCAATAAAGCCGGCTGTAAACCACTAAGATGGTCTAGGGTGGGTGATCCATAGTTGGTTCATGTTGGCTCCAAAAATTGCTAAGATGTGCTAAAGTCGCACTCTTTATCCAACAATATCTAATATATTATATATGTACCCAAGGTATCTCAAGGTTCAAAATGCTATGAACTCCTTGTTCGATATCTGTTGATGGACCTTTTTCTTAAACATCGCCAACATAGATTCAAGGCTTTGCGTTCCAGTTTTTGTTGGAAATATTATTTGATTTTTTTGTTTTATCTCCAAAGCCCCAAAAAGGGTCTGTTCAACAAATAGTGCAATACAATGAAGTTGAACCATTTGACATCCCAAAATTTGGCTGAGGTTGGCTCTGGCTACCTGCCTGAACATGGACTTCTCCAAATGCATTGTCCTTATAGGACTTGTATGTTCCAGCTATGTTGCGGTGAGTTCGTGAACTCACCGTCGGTATCCCCATGCACCGTGGGGTGATGTGGATTGTCCATTTGTGGCTTTGGGGTCGCTCTTAGCATCACGGATACTAGCCATTCAGTGGTTGGTCTTGGTGAAAAGGGGCCCCCAACAGTGAGGAGACATGTCAACCATCCACTAGAAGTGGAAATCGTCTAGATCTATCAAAAACACTCAGATAAAACACCATTCACCAGTTATGGTATGTTGTTGCCCACATCACTTCAGGGTAATTTAGAGCATGCCTTTGCCTTTCAAGGTAAAGATTAGGTATGGGTTGATGATGGTTGATAAAAGGGGATTTCCAATTGCAAGAGCCATATTCTTTGTGTAAAAATTGTGAAAAACAAAACCCCAAACCTTCTCCAGGTTGTTTAAATATGATGTTTCACTGCTATGTATTGAAATTCAATAACCCATTGTTTTGCGAAATGTTATTTCACTTTAGACCCCATTGAGCCAAATGGCATTCAGTCCATAAACCCACCTAGCTAAGTTTACTGGTCCCGGGCCTCAGGACAGCGTTGCTCATCTACGTGATTTGCGCCTTGGGAGGGGTGTTCGTGCTGGAGCAACCCAGTTCTTCATTGCTGCGGTGGCACCCCCGAATGCGACAACTATTCCGGGATCTCCCAAAGGCTGGGATAAAAATCGAAATGAGGTATTGCCAAATGCCATAAGGTAGCATAAAGGGAAAGGGAAATTTGATTCTCTAAGGTTTATGATTCATATTTAAAAAATATATTGTCCAAGTGTGGGGTTTCATACATATTCACCATATATTACATGACACTTGACTCCATTACAACAATAGAGATTTCAACCCACTATTTTCATATGTTTTCAACATGATCTTTATTGCCAGATTCTTAGCAAATCAAAATCACTATTTGAAAATGCATGCTAATGGCATGTCTTCATCCCTGGTAGGTCTTCAGAGCATCCTGGTGGATGGCCCACTACAATGCCAAAACATGTAAGCGACACATATGCTGGAGCAACTCCCCAATTGTTCAGAAACTCAACATGGGCACCTTAACCCGGGAACAAAAAAATGCAGTGGACCTTTTGGGAGTTAGATCCACGAAGCGCTACTTTGACAAGAAGGGAAGAGCCAGATTTGCTGGTACAAAGTCGCTACGTGCCACAGGGACACTTATCTTAATAAATGCCAAACATTTGCATGTCGCCACTGATGTGTTTGGGTTCCAGCTAATTGTGCTATTTCACTGCACCACCATGTCTCTCCATTATAATTTGGGGACCTATATCCACAACTAAGGACTTATCCTCCACAATTTGGCTTGAAAATGACAACACTACATGAGCAACTCCTCAACAAGAAAGCACCGATGCCTCCTATTCCTGACCAGGTGCAACAGGCATCAGTCCAAGAGTTGTTTGCTTCCCTTGCTTGGGAAGACGTTTGGGAAGATGCAGAAATGGCATCAGTCCTCAAGTATTTAAGGGGAAATTATAGTTTGGATTTGGGGCCCTGGCGGGATCTCATCCCGTCCCACTTGTAGGGGTGATACGCCAAGATGGATAACAAATTCACTAGCCCAAAGCTTTTATCAAAGCTCCATAGTGGAAAAAGGCTGCTGCTAGTTGCTGACCACGAAACCGAGAGATTTTCCTACCTTGTTTACAGTTTGCACTGCCAGGCATAAGGTTGGAATAGGCATTCTATGGCATTCTTCTTCTAATCAAGTAATTTGAAGTAGTTTTCCTAGCATTTTATGATGGTTTTTAATGATTTTATATGATTTTGGGATGGTTGCCAAACTACGTACTGAGTACGTACTGAGTACGTACAAAAACAGAATCCGTACAAGGGGCGGAAATCGCCCGAAAAGGGGCGTAAAAACCCGAACGGTCGTACGTACTCAATGCGTATTCTGATGAATTTTGGTGACTTCAATTTTACTCATTTTTCAAAGGATATTTACATGTTCCAACTTGTGTTTTGACCACCTGTGCCCATCTTGGCTCTCCTGCTGGACACTTTCTCCAGGCAAAGGTGTATCCTGCACAGGCCGCTTAGGTTTCAGCTGCTAGATAGGCAATGAGAAAAGCGCTTTCGCTGAAATCAAAGCAGGGTAGCTGTTCGGAGTTGGAAAAGGGCAACAAGAAGCTCATCGCTTGCAAGAAGGAAGGTGAAGAACCAGGTGAACTTCAAAAGCGGATCGAGGAGTGAATATATCATTCTGGTGAATTACATGACATTTGTCACTTTATGAGTGTTATCTCAACACATTGCAATCATCCATGTGCAGTGGGAATAAACTTAGGATATTGGTAATTAGGGCCAAACACCCAAAACGGCCAATCCCGCAGGAATATGAGTCCCAGCTACAAGCCCTTCGAGAGGCAGCAGTTCCTTATCTAAAAGAAATGGTGGACTGCTGTGGCCCTTTCACAAGAATCTTAGGTCCAAGATAATGTATATAAGACTTGTCACAACAATATCATTCTTATAGGTAATATATCCTCAAGATATTTTCCAAATGGTATCACCTGGTAACCTGTCATGACCTTTCCTTGCTTCAGGCTGCAGCAGAGACACAAGAAGCGACTCGGCTTAAAATTTTGATTGCCAGGATCTGTTACCTAAAGTTCGAACTGACACTACCCTCTTCAAAAAATATGTTATAAAAATCTTAGGCAACTCCGGAGGAGATTGAAGCTTCGATGGCTCCCAAGAGGGAAAAAACAAAGGCCACTGCTGCAAAGGCAGCTCCAGCCCCTTCTCCCCCGTCGAGAAGAGTGTCTCAGAAGCGGTCTGCCCAACCCGTCCCTCCTGCAGACCATGAGGTTCGTGGTGCTAAGGCCAAGAAATCGAACCTGAGTGCAGGAAATGAGAAGGCAATTGTGCCTGCGAAACGCACCAAGAAGACCAGTAGTGGGGATGATGGCTCTATTGAGACGTTGAAACAGGCCGGGGTGTTATTAATTCATCTTATAATATGTGAATTAATATGTTATACCAATTTTAGATTTGAACTAGGATCTTGTAAAACCACCTCTCTCAAACCTACTTAATTATGGCCACCCTGAAGGCCAATGCGCAGCTCCAAGCAGAGTTGAAGGATGCCTTACTACAGCTAAAGAAGCAGCCCTTGAATTCCCCCCAGGCCACGCCACCGCCCAGGCGTGCAGCAGCATCCCCACCCGTTCCCACGAGTAGCATGAGTGCAAGCTCAGGGAAATCCAAGGGTGTCAACAAGAAGGTGCCAGCAGACACTGGGGATTCCAGTGATGGGGAGGACAACCCGAGTGAGGAAGCCCGTCTTCACAGACTGAGGAGGGTTTGCGAACGCAAACCGTCGGGCCGCTTAAACGTCCCAGAACACATTCACCTACAGTGGCTCCAGGGTGATCGCACCACACGCCTCAAGATGCTTGATGTCTTGGAAACGGCCGGTTGGAACAAGGATCTAATGGTCTTGCGATATGTTCTTGAAATACTTATGAAATCTTATGAACATAATGAACCATTTCTGATATGTTTATCTCATTACTCTTAAACCACATGTTACCCAACTGTGCTAGGAGGAATTTGTGAAGATGACTGTTTACCGCTCCAAGCAGAAGAAGACTCGCAAGCAGGGAAAGACCAAACGTGGTTGGTTTACCCTGGAAGGCATGAAGGAAACCTTGAAGTGGTCTAAGCCCCTCGTCCAAAACATGACACACACACACACACATCATCCTGAACAGTGACCCAAACCACATATGTGAGGTACACATGTAAACCGAAACTGTATTGTATGATGTTTTAGATGCACCATATGCCTCTGCAATCCTTCCAGGAACTACATCAACAGCGCTGTGAAGTTTTGCGAGAAGAAAGGGAATGAGCACTTGGTCAAGTGTCTTTGCTGCACCCGAGGGGTATGAATAGTGACCTCAAATTGGCACATATGTGTATCCCACAATAGTAACTGTATTTATAGACTTCCTTACACGTAATATACTCATATATTATATATATGCTCCTAAGAGTACGTAGGTTCACAATCTGTGCATTCTCTATTGGTTGCTAGCTGGTGGCGTGCTAACAATAATTTCTATCAGCTTCCATCAGCACTGTGTTTGATGGTGTCTTTTTACTGAGGACAGACCGGTACAACAAGAAACTGAAGAAGTACTACGTGGAAATCGAGGAGATGGATGAAGACATGGATGAAGAGGAGGAAATTGAGCGAGAAGAGGAAACAGAGGCCTATCTACCCTTTATGTATTGAGGGTTTGTCTACCAAGGGATTTCCCACTTGTTGGTTAAATATATTTCCAACCCAATCATTTTTCTAGGCTGGCAATGGTGCCATCTTCAAGCACAAGAAGCGTTCCTATGCCCCAGAGATGGCCCCCGAGACTGATGATGAATCAGAAGAGGAAGCCGAAGTTGACAACAGCTTTCAGGAGTTGCATGGGGGATGTTATAAATATGTTTCTGATTCCCCTTTGTATCCTATTTACCTATTAAGACCCCTATGTGGTATCCAGGAGTATCGCCAGTTCTGCAAGTATGTGAATGGCTTGATTACCAGAAGCACCAAGCTTTCGGATCTTGCAGTGGATCTTGAATCACACACCGGAGAAGTTGATGGTGGAAGTGCTGTTGGAAAACGTTTGAACAAGCTCTATCCTTAAAACCTTTCTTGGTTGTTGAAGCCTGCTCCATTCATCAGACCTTTCACTTCCACATGATTAGGGCCCCTGCTTTCTCCATCTGTTGCCATGAGGTCCATCACCGGATTGCATGATGCCACAGCAGTCCTGGAGCGAGAGTTCGAGATCTGTGAAACTTTGAAAGGGGATACCTCGGCACTTGCAAATGGGAAGGTGAGTGAGGAAAAGGGAAAGGAGCCATATCCTTAAGCCCATTTGTTGTTACACATGTCGATGCACATGATTGTTTTCTCGGCATTTTGGATCAATACTCGTTTCAACTTATCAACCTTAGGCTGTTGGGAAAGATCGACGAGCAAATCAAGAAAACCAATGTTGCGCTCCTTGTCCAACATCGTGTTATGATATGCCATCAGGCCTTCATTGGTTTCGTCCTGCCACAAGCTGTATGCATCTGAGGTGTGCAAAGATTACCGCAGCGGAAAAGGTGGCGAAGTCTTTTATTTGCATTTGAGACCTTTGAAACACTTGAAGGATCTTCCTGGCCAATGCCTGGATACCACCACTCATCCCCATATGTAATTTCCATATAGAAAATATATTATATTTACATCCAGACCTAAGTAGTAAATATATATAAACATATCCAAATAATATCAATTGGATCAAATCTGATGTGTTTAATTGCATGTACTGCCAACATCCATAAGGAATGTGCTGCGCAGCCTGAAAGCTGATCAGTGATCGAATGATGCCTGGAATGATATACATGCCCAGCTGAATGTGTTACCTTGACACGTCAAAGCTGCTGTCAGGATGCCATGATGTTTCAACGTATATTTTGTTTGCAATGTACTTGCCTGTACTTTGCTTTGGGGTTGGTCGCAAAACATGTTGCGACCCTGTGTCAACTCTTGGCACTTGGAAACATGTGCATAGCACGTGAGTGATGTCACAATAGAAATTACCAGAGGGATATTCCGTGGACAAAAAAAAACATGCAGCTGCGATGATCAACCTTTGAATTGCAGGTATGCGGAAGGGATCCCAAAACTGTTCTTTTCACCCCCATATCCAGAGAACCCTACACCACCCAAAATTAAGTCCATTTGATTTGCCCCTGTGCCAGGTCAAAATCAACATGACAAAGATCTCCTTCGACACCATGCCCATTTGATCTCGATGGGGGCCAACTCCCCAGCATCCTGCAGAGCGCTGGGTTGACACGGGTCAGTCAGAACTAAGCCATTGAACCTCATGGATTAACTAATTGTGATATCTTGGCTCGAGTGGGGATTATCGTAATTTACTTGGGTGGCCTTTAGTGGGTTGATGAGTCCACCTGGGTTTCAAACCCTTAATTTCGTGCAATGCCTGAAAGCCATGAGAGCACTGATGATGACAATGACTTTTTGATGGAGCTGTTGACATATCGATGCCCTCAAACTGGGAGAAAACGAACTGCCGGATGCTTGGAAACAAGGACTGCTCATGCAATATCATGCAATCTTGTTACCTTAACATTTTTTTGACCCAACATAAAAACTTGGATGGTTCAAATGTTTCTGTGGGTTACCAGGACGCCTTCTCCAATCAAAATTCCTTTGGTGACGGCACATTGTCATACAGAACTTCCAGACCATGAACATGATGATGGAGAATTGTTTTCTGAATACCTTCACCGGCATGAACTTAGCCCAACTTCAAACCACAATGGTCCTGAGGGTGATATAGCTCTTGTAGAAAGCAGCAGCGCCATCGCAACTCAGTGGCTGAGGGTTTTGTTTGGGAGAGATGCCTTGTCCACAAAAAATGGGGGAACTTGTTGTCCATTTGTTTTCATTCCAATAATGTGGAAAACTCAGGGTTTGCTCAATGATGTACAGGAAAAACATGAAACATATATTATTCTATATTTAGGGTGGAAAATCAAGGTAGATGATGTTTTCACCACAACTTCATAACCACCAAGGTACCAAAATTTCTAGTCTTGGGAAATCATTATACTTTAAAACATAAGATAATTGCAATTTGTTTTCTTTACATGTGTACTGTATGACCATTATCTATCTCTTGTGGGTGAGAGCGTGGTGAACAACTCAGGTCGGAAAAACGAAAATTTTGGCTGAAATGGCCGATGGGTTCAATGGAAAAAACTTTGACTGGTCACATGCCCGCCCGCTTGGTGTCTTCAACAAGTGCCCGTCAACCCAAAGATCTATGAACATGACCTGCGGAAAAATTTTGGCACATGCAAAAGAACATGTGGTAGCGTTTCGTAATATGATAGGGCTTCGGGTTTGTGTTTTCCATATCGGGGTGACGCACAACCCGCTGATGAGATTTCAATCGTATTTGGAGAAAGCCTACACTCATATGTGGGTAGTTTACTGCTCCAACAAAACCGATCTAGTTCATATGCTTGAAGCAGCTTTGGTTTCCGAATTTGCAGCCCATGTTGGATGCAGAAACAAAAGTGGCAGTGGAGGAGAAGGGGCCCTAAACAGGGCTAACTGCCCTGACCCTCCCTACTTTGTTTATGTGACTGGTGGCCGTGCAGACCAGCCACGGGCTGTTGGATAGAAGTTTCTTGGGGTCAACTGGAGAAAAGTTGCTGCGGCGCAGGGTTGGCCAACAGCTGTGAAACGTGAAACAAACACCTGGCAGAGCACATTCGCCCTTTCAACTTATGATCCCTTCCCACATCGTAAGCCAACCACTACACCCGTCCAAGGCATAATTATTCTGAGCCCTGACCTTTTGACCTACTAAGGTCCCATGCTCGCACATCGTGAAGCAGGCCAGAACAGAACTGAGAACTCAGGCCCATGCAGGTCGACTTCTGAGAAAGTTTGCCAACGTGCGGTTGAAAGATGCCGAAAGAGGTGTCCACAGAATTTTTGTAGAAGAGGGATTTGCAGTCCCAATCCCAATTGAAAGGATCAATGTTGGGGCTGGTGCTTTAGCGAAATTCCCAATCATCAAATTTTCGAGTTGGGTGAAATACCTTCTAGATACCAATCGTTTGCGGCAGCTGACGGGCATGGCAGACTTTGAGAACATGAAGGCCACTCTTGGTGAATGGTGGTCTCGCTTCCGGGCCTTGTACCCAGAGCATGGTGTCTTCAGGTTGGCCAATGAAGGCCGGCTTTGCCTGGAGTTGACGATCCCGTTCTACAGCCATACTGACGAGGGTAGATCCTACAAGCATGCACCCTTGTGGGTGTTGAGCTCACATGGCTGCATCGGCAGAGGCACAAGGGCTTTCATCAAGAAGGGTGAGTTGATTGTCAACAGACCACCTTTGCGGAGAAAATCAATGGGTGTCAATTTTGTTGGAAATACGTGGTCAACGCAGTTCATCTTCTGCTCAATCCTTCGTGCTCATTTCGCAGAGCGTCCAGAAATTTTGGAGGCTTTGGTGGCAGCCTATGCCTCGGATGTTGCTTCTTTGGCTACAGATGGTGTGACCAGCTCTGATGGGAGGACACAAATTTGGTGTGTGCATGTTGGCACCAAAGCCGACCTACCAGCCCTGGCGAAGTTGGGGGGCTTCAAGAGGTCCTTTGGCAATGTTCCCAGAGCACCTTCCTCAAGGTCTGCTTGTCGTGGCATTTGCCACCTGTGCCTTGCTGGCCGTGAAGCTCCAAATGGAGATGCGATCTTGCCATTTGAAGACATGAGCTTGAACCCAGCATGGCTTGCAACCATGGATACAGAGGAGCCATGGACTTCCACCCCGGCAATCCTCAATGGAGCTTTGATAGAAGAAGAGAGACAGGCCCAGTTCTTTTTGCCAGACATATGGCACAATGTCCACATGGGGATTGGCAAGAGCTGGGCTAGTTCGTCTTTTGTGACCTTGGCGGAGCTATCTGATAATCTACCAGGCAACTCAATGCAGGCAAGGTTTGACTTCCTGTCCCGGGACTACTTGGACTTCTGTGCAAGGTGCAAAGTGCAGCCTTTTGTGGATGGGATCAATCGTGAAACGATGTGCTTCCCACAAAGCTCAGCAACGCCGGAAGGCAAGTGGAGCAAAGCTGCATGCACAACTATCATGCTGAAGTACTTGGAGAACCTGGCCTCGCGTTTCATTGCTGGGCACACTGACAACAACATCCTCTTGGCAATTGTTTTTTGTCTGCACAACAGCCATGGAAAAAATCAAGTTTTAAGCATTTTTTTCGGTTGGGCCCACATTTGGAAATGATTTCCTTTCCCAAACTTAGGAGAAGGGCACCAAGTCCCTGAACACTGCCATCTCTGCCATGTACTGCTTGGGCTATTGGGTTCGCAGAGACTATGCTATCAAAATAGCCCACCATCTTCTGAAGTTCCTGCAAATGTACCAAAAGTCTGCAGCAGGGAGCATTCAGCTTCGCCGCAACAGGTTCCCGATCAAGCCGAAGTTGCACATGGTGCACCATTGTGTGCAGCGCCTCCTTTCGGAGGCTCGCCGCAGCCAATGGGTTGTGAACCCCATTGCAGAGTCGGTTCAGATGCAGGAGGACTACATTGGTAGGCCATCACGTCTTAGCAGACGGGTCAATCCCAGAGCTATTCATGAGAGAACTTTGTCGAGGTCATTGATTTGTTCGATGGAAGCATTGCTCGCTTCTGACCTAGATCCTAGGGGGTTGGATGGGCATTAGGGGTTCAAACTACAATCCAAGAATTTTAGATTATTTTTGACACCAGGAAAGTCTTCCAAGTTTTGTTGTCCACCCTTGGTCCATCCCTTTGAGTTCCGCGCGGTGGTGCGCGGATGCCACTGCTTCACCGGTGGGGAAACTTGAAAATGTTGGCAGCAGCAGCGGCAAGGTGGTCTCTCAACACAATGACACAGTTGTCAATTATCCCATACCATGTTCCCCATGGTTCATCTTAACTTATATTGGGTTTTATGGCTTCCATCTTACATAACACAATGAAATGATAAATCATTGCCATACTGGAAATCTCAAAGGGGCGGATTCTAGGCAAAGGGGCGGATTCTCATGAAAGGGGGGAAAAATATGATAAGATACGCTCCTTCCCTAAAACGGTAGGTTGAAGCGGCTCTAGGTATATATATATTGCCTTTTCCGAATTCATCAGAACAGCCGCGACGCAAGTCCCAAAAGGCCGATGGAAAAAAAAATATATACAGTATATGTCTATGTCATTATGACGCATATGTGTATATAGTATATATAAATATAATATATAGTATATATATATAATATATAGTATATATATATATGTGTGTGTAACACGCTTAGCGGTGGGACATGTTTTTTGAATGGGATCCAAATGGACCAATGGACCGAGGAGTTCATCTGCCTCCTCCAAAACGATCAAGCCATTGATGTGCTTCAAGATGTTGGGATCCCAGTGAAAGGGGGGAAAACCGCTGGGAATATCTCAGTGATCTGGTTGGTGGTTCAAATTGGATCGAAGTATTTGATGTTCGATTCGAGGTGTCATGAAATGACATCTTTTTTGATAGCTTGAAAGCAGTGTAGAAACAAGAGCTGGGTGACCTCATCCGTTGTTCCAGCATTGCTCTCACGTTGGCGTTTTTATTTTTGGAGGGGTTGACATATTCAACCAGGCAATTTAGGGATATTATAGCTGCTATAGCTGGAAGGTGCTGGAAGCCTCAGAAATGCGGATTGGCAAATGATTTGAAATGATTCGACAATAATGTGTTCAATCTCTTGGGGATTGCTACTCTCCGGTGGGATCTTGCACATATTTCAGACCCTTTCGTTGTCGATCGAGACGGGGTGGGCCTTTGTTGAGGTGGGAGTGGACCTCATTGCTTTGGTAAAAGATCCTAACATCATTTTCGAGGGCGAACCCTTCATGGGTTTCCAGGCAGGCTGAGAGCACGGGGGATCATTCGCATGGAAAGTCAGCGTCACTGCAAGCCGGAAATGTTGCTGTGTGCCCGTCATCTACAGTCGGACACCTTTGCTGCATGCGAAAGCCACTGTGCACATTTCGTGTAAGGTTTATTCGGGGAAAAAAGAATCACGACCGTGCGGCCCATAGATTTTGGTCTTTTGATTGCATGAATTCATATTTGGATTTGGGGACCTATCAGTCAACGAACCAGGGAAACCGGAAATCAAGAGGAAAATCATCTTCAAAACGCTGGATTTTCGTCATGTGAGAGAGCTAGAGGGTTCCTCAACTGACTTAGGCCCATAATAGTTGACTGGTTGGTGGTTTGGAACATTTTTTATTTTCCATAGTATATGGACGTTTATGGGATAATCCTTCCCAACTGACTAATAATGGTTAAAACCACCAACCAGAAAAACATATTGCTTACAGCCTCCGCGCCGCAACGACATGTGCAGGACTTCCTTGACGAAATCCTTCTCCTGCGCGGCTCAAATGCTGCCACAGTGAAGGACTCTCTGCTCGAAGGGTTTTGTTTCAAGACCCTCAGCCATCACTCAAAAATTCAAAAAGTGAAGAACCGTTTCAACGCGGCGGTTCAATTATTTGCAAATCATCTGCAGATCATGTATCACCAGGGGTTTATGTTTCTTTTTTAAAGTAGAAATCTAGGATTATCGCTGTCGAAGACGTGAAATACTTTCCTTCTCAGTAGAACTCATGTAGAAATCAGGGGTGCCTAGGTCTCCACAACCTTTTTTTTAAAGTATATAGCGGTTTGCTAGGGGCACCCCTGGCCCGAAAATCGGCGGAGGACCTCACGGTGCTGAAAAATCAGATCATACAGACCTTGCCGCAAGTGCTGAAGAAGAAGCTGAGGGTATGAAGGGACCATCGATGACGATCACCAGACTTGGGGACGGATCAAAACCATTCAAAAGCTATGGAAACCTACCATGAATTGAAACAAAATCACATCATTTGCAACATCCCATTTGAAATGGAGAAATGAACTTCTTCAATGGCCGCTGTTTTTTTGTGTTTACCACAGGGCCAAGGTTTTGACCCAGACCCAAAGAATCATGAGATATTATAGTAGAAGAGCCCCTGAAGAGAGATAATGAAGAGGAACAGCAGCAAAAATGATGCAGGTCATCCATTTACCGTGTAGTCTTGCTAAAGATCCTAGTGTAAGTTGAACAAGTTCTTTCCAATGTCACAAGTATGTCTAAGAAGGTCATCAAAAAAGAATGGGACTGCAGCCGCTGCAGTCTTGAAGGGGTTGAATTCCCAGAAGTACAGCTGGCTCTGTAGGCTTACACTCATGAAGTGTTCAGGTTGCCCTGCCGCCATGTTTCACCCAGTAGCCCTCTAGGGCCTTACAATGGACTACCCCCCCAAACGGGGGGGTCCGGGTCTATGGCAGCCTGGGATTTACACCAAGATTAGTCATGGAATGTCGCCACATGGTGGCGTCTCAATGGCTTAGAACATCACCCCGGAGCAGTACACATATAGGATATTTATGGATATTTAGTTATATTGCCAACGATTAAGTTTGCAACATAGCACTGCTTCAATATCCTCCCAGAGGCTTGGGTCCATTGGGTCATGCTCATCATGGCTTGATATGGCTGGGGCTTCGCATCTTGGGATACCTCATGATACCTCCAAACTCCGTCGCAGCCCGCGTTGCCCGGGCTGCCCGTTGAAGCCACGTTGAATGCAAGCGACAGTTGGTTGTTCGCCCGGTCAAGCCGCGGCGCTGTATGGGACTTGCCCGGTTTAAATTGCGTCGGAAAAAGACAAAGTGAGGGGCCATGGATTGGTGGGTTTCACCAACCATTTCTGGAGGCTTTACCCTCTGGGAAACTAACATAACTATGGAAAATGACAATTTTCAATGGGTAAATCCACTATTTCTATGCGCAATTTTCAGTAGCTATTTTGACATAACCAGAGGGTAAACGGCTTATAACGGCTTTAATATGCTTCAATGAGAAGTCTGATCATCATTCCGATGCCGTGCAAATTTTGGAGAGCCATGAAATTTTTGGGGTACTGGGGGTGGCTGGGGCATGTGGAATCTTGAGGAATCTTGAGGATACCGTGACATACCCATAGAATATCATAGAATCCAATAGATGAAAGAGACATCACCGTGACATATACCTCTCTGATCCCCTTGCAGTTCTCCATCGAAAATTGACCCAGCCCGAAAGGCCTGACTTCTGCGGCATGCTGCAGGGGCGCCGGAGGTAGGAGTTCAGCCCGCAGTGAATGATCCACATATCACATATCCATGGGGATGGTGAAGCCATAGGCGCGAGAGTTGCAGAATCCATTTATTTTACCCTCTGGTTATTTAACATAGCCATGGAAAATGGCCTATCTATAGATGGTTTACCTATTAAAAATGGTGATTTCCATGGCTATGTTAAATAACCAGATGGTATATGCTATACTATGATATACTTAAACCGTCTTAGACCCTAAGAATCCTAAGATCCATCTTCAAACCATCTAGATCTCCGATCCATTGATGTTTCCGTGGTGAAATTTGCCGTGGAACAGTGGTACTTGACGTCTGCAGCATCCCATCTCGAGATGTGGCCCCAGCCCAGTAGCGACATGGCGCCATGTCTGACCTCGAGGCCGCCTTGGATGCTTTGCAACTTGGTCATTTCTTGCCAAAGTTGCGCCAGCTGGGTGTAGACAACCTCAGCCAGGCCTGGAAGTGGCTGAAATGTATTGAAATATGCTAGAATCATTGCTGTGATCATTTTGTCGGTATGATTGGATATCATGGATATCCCAACATATCTCAATTGACAATTCTCCGAAAATGCTCTGATTTGGCTACCTTTGGGGTCCCGGATGTGTCCAATTTGGGTCTCGCAGGTGGCGCATTTACTCACCTCCGACCTGGCCGAAGTGGGCCTAAATCGTGTGCAGATCCGACAGTTGCAGAAGCTGGCGGGGTCCAGTGGAGTGGCTTGGTCGTCCTATGGCTGTCACAGGCTAAGAACCTACAGTACCTATCCCTCTATCAATCTATCGTTCTTTCTTTCTTTATCCTTTTCTTATCTCTCTTATCTTTCTTATCTTTCTTTTCTCTTTTTAAAATGTTATCTTTCTGATCTTTTTAATACTATGTTTCTTATCTTTCTAATCCTTCTTATCTTTCTTATCTTTCTTATCTGTCTTTTCGTTTTTTCTTTCTTTCTTTCTTTCTTTCTTTCTTATCTTTCTTTAACATATTTTTCTTATATTTTTCTTATCTATCTGATCTGTCTTATCTATCTTGTCTATCTTAATTATCTTATCTTTCTTATCTGTTTCTTATCTTTTCTTATTTCGTATCTTTCTTTTCTTACTTATATTTTCCTTATCTCTCTTATCTATCATTCTTATTATTTTTTGATTATCTTTCTTATCTTTCTTATCTATCTTATCTATCGTATCTATCTTTTCTGTCTTATCTATCTTATCTATCTTATCTACCTTATCTATCTTATCTATCTAATCTATCTAATCTATCTTATCTATCTAGTCTATCTAATCTGTCTATCTATCTATCGGTCTATCGATCTCCCTATCTAATATCTATCTATCGTTCTTTCTTATCTATCTTATCTATCTTATCTGATCATATCTCAACATAACTTACATTATCTTATCTTATCTCATCTTATCTATCTTATCTTATCTATCTTATCTGACCATATCTCATCATAACTTATATTATCTTATCTTATCTTGTTTATCTATCTTATCTATCTTATCTATCTTACGAATCTATCATCTTATCTATCTTATCTATCTTATCGGCCTTATCGGTCTTATTGTTCTTATCTGTTTTATCTGTCTTATCGATCTTATCCTATCTTATCCTATCTAATCTAATAGTAGCTCATCTTATCTCATCTTTTCTCATCTTATCTCATCTAATCTCATCTAATCTCAATCTAATCTCATCTTATCTCATCTAACCTCATCTAATCTCAATCTAATCTAATCTGATCTCATCTAGTTTCATCTAATCTCAATCTAATCAAATCTGATCTCATCTAATTTCATCTAATCTCAATCTAATCTTATCTAATCTCATCTAATCCAATCTCATCTTATCTGATCTAATCTGATCTAATCTTATCTAATCTTATCTAACCCTTTTTAGTCTTATCTACTCTCATCTAATCTTATCTCATCTTATGTCATCGTATCTAATCTTATCTTCCTATCTAATCTTATCAAATCTCGATCCGATAATCTATTCCCATCTTATCTCATGTAATCTCATCTAATCTCAATCTAATCTCATCTAATCTCTTCTAATCTAATCTTATCGCGTCCTATCTCATCTTATCTATCTTATCAATCTTATCCATCTTTTCTATCTAATTTATCTAATCTATCTAATCTATCTCATCTATCTCATCTATCTAATTTATCTAATCTATCTAAGCTATCAAACCTAATAAACCTATCTAATCTATCTAATCTATCTAATCTATCTAATCTATATATCTAATATGTATATCTAATCTATCTATCTAATCTGTATATCTAATCTATCTATCTATCTGTCTATCTATCTATCTATCAATCTATCAATCTATCAATCTATCAATCTATCAATCTATCAATCTATCTATCTATCTATCAATCTCTATCGATCGATCTATCCATCGATGCATATCGATCCATACCTATATCTATACATGTATACATCTCTATATGCATATTTGTTTCATTAAATATATAGATATATATATATATTTATCATGCTCTATCTCTATCTCTATTTCTATCCTATTTCTATCCCTATCTATCTATATCTATATTTAATATCTAATCTCTATATTTATATCTGTATCTACCTATAATTCTATCTATATTTGTAACTATATCTATCTCTGTTTCTTTTTCTCTTGCTCTCTATCCATTTCTAGATCTATATGTCTATTTGTGTCTATGTCAACCTACATCTCTATCTATACGCCTACCTATGCCTTTCATATCTATTCCTATCTATATTCATCTGTGTCCATCCCTGTCTATTTCCATCGATATCTATATCTCTATATATATATATATATCTCTCTATATATATATATATATGTGTTATATATATCTCTATATATATATATGTTATATATATATATATATATATATCATATTACTCTATCATCTATCTATATCAATCTCCATTCTAGCTCTATCCATCTCCTTTTTTTCATATTCTGTCGAATCGCTGAGGCGATCTTGAAGGAGAGCCCCAGCAGCGATGCCTCAACTCCACCGTGGTCTGAGCGCACCAAGTTCTTTCCACCGCCAAGGGAAGGCGGGGAAACCATGGGAAACCATGGGAAACCATGGGAAACCATGGGAAATGGGGAATCTGATGGTTATGAAAATTCGTATAGCAAAAACAGATTGTGTTGTTAGATGTTATTGGTATTGTTAAGTTATGTTAAGTTCTCACCTAAGTCTTTTTGGTCAATTTTTTGAGGTGGGAAGCCCTTGGTGATGAGGAGTTTCCCAAATTTTCGGAACCGCAGATTCTTCAGGGCGATGTTGGGACGTTGGGTTTCGTCGGGTTTCGCTTTCTTTCAAGGAGCTTGATGATCTAAGACTCCCTACTCCTAGGTCCTAGGCTTGCCCAATTGTTTTCTATCTATTTTTGAGCCAGTTCTCTTCAACTTCCTCTTTTAGAAGGTGCTTGATTAGCTGCCTGTGCGATTTCTTGATCCCTTTGCGCACCCTTCTTTGAAATACAAGTTTCAGTTCTGGAACCTATCTGGCCTGCATGTCTCCGATCTACTCAGATATATATACGTATATAAATATATATACGTATATATAACACTTGCATGTTTGCGCCGACCCAGGTCATTGAACTCCCACAATTTCGACATTAACACTTGACCATGAACATATTTTGCGTGCTTTAGATGGTGAGAACCACCCAGGGTTGGTTGGTTGGGAATTGTTGCTGTTGGAGGCCCATTTCAGATGTCTCCCCGCCGAAAGTCCGATGCCAGCACCGAAGCCGCCGTGGCCGTGGCAGCACGACGTGCCAGCCATGATGGGATCTACAAACCCGTGCTGGAAGGATCTGCTGTTCATCCGCAAATGACAGAGATGAACGCACAGGAAAAGCTGCTGTTGAAGCAGCTGGGTCAAAGATTCCAGTTGGCCTCTGAGCGCACGGCGGCCATTGTGTGGGATGCGCCCGCCATGAGGCATTTGCAGGGGGATGAGTTGCGTGAGTTGGACATGGCAGATGACTTTTCCGAAGCTTTCCCGGAGATGATGGCAGGAGCTCCATCCGCCATCTCTGCCCCACCTGATGATGATGTGCCAGCCACCTTCTACAGGCTAGACTTTGGCGACTCCCCATCGGTTCAGCAGCAAATGCCTGAGGCTTTGCGAAAGCGCTTGGAGAATCGTAAGGAGCAGCTGGTTCAGCAGAAGAAAACTCAGGAAAAAGGCCCTGAGAAGGGCGAAAAAAACGATAAGTTTGACAAGAAAGAAGCTGGACTTGCAACCCCGACTGCGGCTGTTGCTACTCCCGCAGCTCCAGCCCGCAGCTCTCGGTCTCGGCCGGGTGATGAGATTCCGACGGTGCCCCCCTTGAACTTGGAAAGTTCTCCTGCCAAGGTGCGCAGCAGCAGCATCGGGCTCACGGCAAGGAGGACCAGTCGGGAGGATGGCGCCAAACGACAGGGCAGCAGTCCTACTGAGAAGCCACACGACGGGAAGGTGAGCAACCAGGGTCAGGGCCGGAAAGCCGAGGAAGGTGGGAGGCAAATGTTCGACAAGAACACTTTGCGCATGATGCATCGGGAGGTCTTCAAAGGAGCAATTGGGCGCTATCAACAGCGGATGCTCGAGCGACTTGGCAATGTAGGAACGGGGGCCATGATGCAAAGACCTGACCTGAGGGAGGTGGGTGTGGGTTTAGAAGGCAAGTGTTTGGCAATCAGGTTCCCATTTTGAAGGGCCATTTCGAATGTTGTTCTCATCCTGTGAAATTCTCGTCCCGCCTGACCAAAGTCCATGAGACTCACGCGACCCAACTTTGGTCTGGCCATATCTATATTATCTATTTATGTTCCATTCATGTTCCATTCGATCCAGCCAGTGTGCAGTGGCAACATGTTGGGCATGTTGCGAGCCGGCGAAGGGGGTCCTCAATGGCATTCTAAGTAGCCATGGGTCTCCATTCAACCGGCCAGACCCCGCCACCGGTGTCCAGGTGGTTGGAAAGAGGCCAAAGCGCTGCCCTTTCAGCCCGAACACCTCGCCGACGAGCCAAGTCTGTACAGGCCGCAAATGCGAGTGTGTGTGGAAGCAGAGTTGGAGTAACCTGGGAAGTTTCTGCAATTGAATGTATTGGAGGAACATATATAATTACCCCCGTTTCTTTTTTAAACATTTTTTCATTTTTGTTTCAGGATGTTAAGGTACCAAAGGCTTGCCACGCGACGACGACATTTACAGTGAGCATACAGAGATATTGATCCCACCATTTCCATTTGCAGATCATTTTGCTGAGGAGTTAGTGGCCTAAACATCCAAGATCATCTAAGTTCATGGAAGGGTGCACGAATCTGCTGCGCACGATTCAGCACTATCAAGAGAGATGATCAATTTTCAGAATCGCACAGAGATGTGGTAGTTCTGTCCAAACATGGGGCCGCCAGAATCAAAAGTCAAGAGTTAAGAGTGCAAGCTTGTCACGTTTCAATATGATCATCATAAGATTCGTAGTCGATCTCAGGAATGTGACCTTGAAACCGCTTTGCTACTCCCTATGTTCGTTGGTAGAACGTCCATTGATTGCTCATGGACGGCTCAATCATCTTAAGATATCTCAAAAGCATTCTTCAATATTCTTCAATTAATTGAAGTTCAAATTATTATTTTTTAAATCCTTGTCGATGTAATCATCATGAATCAACTATCATTTTGGGATATTGGATGGTTCAATATGTTCAATTCTTACTTCCCCTCAGGTTTTTCACGTGTTTGCCGCTTCCGTAGGTCTTCGTCCGTGTCCGACCCATCTTCGACCGGGATATCGAGCGGCCCAGCTATATGGTCCACAGGGAACAGCACGTAGTTCTGACGGCTTTTTTTTTGGGGTGGGAGGTGGGGGGAGGAACGCACAATTTTTATCAAATTTTCATAAATTTTCAGAAATGGATATGAATGTCACAGAATTACAGGATGTGAGTGGATATTGCAGTACAGAGAGAGAAAGAGAGAGAAAAAGAAGATATAATTATTATACGATATCCATGGATAATTATCCCCCAATGAACGAGTGACTGAATGAGTGAACCTCGTCAGCGCGTGACTGAGTGAGTCTCTGCGAGCCCCTCCAGACTCTGGACCTCATCTGGCACGCTATAGCACGTCTCGGAATAATTGAATATTTGTTGGAAATTGTTGGAATACACATACAGATATAGATAGACAAATGAAATACAAATGATAGATAAAGATAAGATACACACACACATATATGATTATGTGTGTATGCCGGGATATTTTCCAGAAGATTTGCCAGAAGATATGTCAACATACATGTCGGGATAAATGTCCGAACGCGTGTAAGAATTTATGTCAGTGTCAGAATATTTGCGCGTCCACACGAAGTACCCTCGGTTAATCTAGCATAGCTATAGAACAGTTAAATTTCAAGAGGACGGTAATTCAAATGGTTCAAATCTTAATGACCTTTATTTGTCATTTCTACTTGATACATGAAAGCCGTTTCAAACTGCGTTAGCTTTCCATTTCATGGTCAAGTCAGACGGATCAGATTCACCCATTTTCCAAAAGGGGGTCACGAATCCATTCCCCCTCAATAACATAGCTCCGGAAGATTCTGGAAGCCATGGCCCAATGGCCCATTTAGTTCCATGATTTACTAGGATTTACTGATATTTACCAAATGGAGTTTACTTATTTACCAATGATTTACCAATGGTGTTCCATGATATTTACTTTTTTACCAATGTTAAACCATGTTAAACCATGGAGTTTTCGATCGCTATGTTAGTTTGCAAAGTGTACGGCTATGGCTATGGGCGGACTCCCATGGCATGGGGTGACCATACGAGAATTCCAAATATGGAGCTTTTGGACACCGGCGTTTTTTCCCTCTTTTTGGAGGGGGGCAGTGCTCAAACATGTCTTTTTCATCTGAAATTTTACGCGTTCAAATCGGGAGATTTACGTATGTTGTCCTGGGTGTTGGCTCAAACCGGTTTTGATCTCGCAAACGATGGTGTTTTGAGACTATACCCATAGGATCCATAGTGCTGGTATATAATATGCTAACATGACTGGGGTATATTCGGTATATTGATGGGATCCATGTTACCATTTATATAGCAGCACCATGGATCCTATGGGATGGCAACACCATGCAACCCGTGATGAAAGCAACGGAGGTCATGGGAGGTCGCTTAAAGGTGAGGTTTTTTCCCCTGACGCCGAGGAAGGGTGACTTTGTGCCTTGACTGCAGGGCTGACATTATCCGAAAAGGAGATTATATGTGAAGACAATCGATAGTTTATTCATGTTTATTATATATTATATATATACGTAAATATGCATATATAATTATAAATAAATATATATATATATACGTGTGTAAATAATAAATAAATTATATGTATAGTATACGTATATATATATATAGCACATACACACACATACATATATATATAATGTATGAATATCAGCTTCAGCACCAAGCCCTTCAACATTGTTCCGTATTTTCAGCTCCAGGACGAGCGTTGATTTTATCAGCATTTTTCACATCTGCTCCAATTTTGGTTGTCACCTTCTAGTTTCCTGGGCAAAGCGTTGGAAGCGGAAAAAAAAACATGGCAAGGGTGCGGAGCACGTGTCACGCGACGTTCGTTTGTGCAGGATGTGATCTCAGTTGTACCTGGGCAGCTGGTTTTGCACAGTTGCCACTTTGAAGCCGACCTCAAGTCGCCCTTCATCAGACACTTGCCATGGGGGAATGTGTTCGATCTCCAACCCAGTGTTACTGACCTTGGGGACATTGACGAACAAAGATGCTGAAATTTGGGAACGAAATTGAAACATATGGCAACTAACAGATGAACATAAAAACTGGGGGAATAGGATGGCCAAGAATTGCGAGGCCAAGAAACATAGGATCAGTTAGTCAGTTGATTTCAAAATGGGATGTGGAAACATAAGCGCCAGGGAAGGAATGACCGTCAAGAACGGTGACATAATGTCACCGGGCAAACAGACCAATGCATGGTGGGTCACGCTGATTTGTTTCGCAATTTTGAAGGAACAGATATGATCACGGCAAAAGATCACCTTTTCTCAAGGGTGATCATAGGAATATCATAGGTGATCTTAGATTACCATGACCCTTGGCCATGCCATGATCGCGATCGGAGGTCACCATTCCTTCCAGTTTGACCAGACCTTTGGACACACGGCCAGCAACAAAAGGGTTTACAAACATGCGGCAGCGGAAATTGTGCAAGCTGCATGTGATGGTGGCGTTGGCACTATCTTTATGTTTGGTCAGACTGGCAGTGGCAAGACACATACCATGCTGCTTGGCCACGTAATTTCTGACCCGGGTGTTGGAGAATTACGAGACGATGCCGGTTCTTTCTATGCTTTCAAGAACTTGCTGGTCTTCCCTTTTTGACACTCCGTCAATCTTTGTCATGGGTTTCGTCCTCTTCTAGCTCCAAGCGGCAATGGGGGCATCCCGTTACAATCCTGTCAAACCACATCGACTTTTTTCCGTTGATCCTATTGTTTTCGGTTTTGAGTTTTTCGCTATATCCAGATAAGCCATGTTTCACCCATTCCACGCTATTTTTCACCCTTTCCAGCAGAACTACTGTGGTTAAAGCAATTCAATCATAAACCATCCCCAAAATCTGCATAAATGGGTGTGTTAAACCATGAACATATGTGTGGTTGATCGCTTTACATGATGCCTTTTCATTGAGACTCCGACCACAAAAAGACGGCGCCAAAAACTCGGCGCCGCGCCTGAGGTGTGCCATCGAAGAGATGGCTACGCAGGAAGTCTTCGCCCAGCTGCCCTTGGAGGAAGATGATGATCCGATGATTGGGATCCAGTTCCTGGAACTTAGAGGGGACAAGTGCTTCGACCTCCTGGCCAATACCAAAGGCGCGCAAAAACCCTGGTGCTTTAAGGGGGGTGTTCAACTTGCTTTTGAAAAAAACAAGTGTTGGTTCAGGTGTTTTAAGGTGATTTAAGGTGATTTTCAGTTGTTCATGTTTTTTCACGTTTTTTTTTCAAAGAAATTAACTGATGGGGTCCTGTTACGCCTAATGCGGGCGCAGACATGTCATAGGTCTGGGCTCTGGGCAGCCGTGGGGCGGTTGGGGGATGAAAAACCAGGCCGCGACTTTCCGGAACTTCGGCTGCGAGAGCATCAGGGGACCTATCGAGCTGAAGGTGGGGCCATGAGCCGAGTGGTGGGGAGATCTTCGTAGTATAGGAATAGGAAGCCCATGGAAGCCCAGAAAATAGTAATAGACTTAGTCAGATAGTAACAATTAATATGTTACAATACTAAGAATAGCAAAAATAGTAATGATAACAACACTAGTAATAATATAATCATTAAATGCACTATGACAGGATATGATTTTGCATCTTACCATGGACTGACCTGACATGATCTGACAACCCAGATGATTTTTTGTTTGCGGCAAACTTGGCTGCGAGTGGAACATCGTAGGATATCGTAGGAACTGGACTACTTTCCATTACCCAAGTCTATTTTCTTCAAACATGCTGTGTCCCTAACGCCTATGGTACAGGCCTGAATGAACTGGTTGATACTAGTTGATACTAGTTGCCTGGCTAGGAAACCCATGAACCTGGGTTTGTCTCTTAAAACCAAGCCCCGCAAACCCCTCTATCATATTGGGATATATTATGATATATTGGGACGATCAAAGCCAAAACAAATCAATCTGGAAAAAAACAGGGTACCCACTGGTGAACTAACATAGCAATGGAAAATGGCCATTTATAGTGGATTTTCCCATGAAAAATGGTGATTTTCCATTGCTATGTTAGTTTACCAGAGGGTACCTACCATTTTCAAACAGTGCCAGTCACTTTTTTTCGCGACAGTTTCCAGTGGAGCAGTGGACCATTTCTGGGCTTTTCGCAGGGCTTTTTTCGGAGGGATTCTTCATCAAACATGAACACCTAAGTAGCCCTAGTTTGCCCCCGGGAAGCGTAAAAGAAAACCTATTGATAGTATGGGTATGGATCAGTACCTATGAACATACCATAATTATTTTTAGTGGGTTATTCACATCCATTTTAACCCAGCTATTTTGATGTGAACACAAGGGGTACTATTGGTTTTTCCCATCAGCTCGGCCGTTGTTAATCAAGCTACATCCCAGTTCGCCAGCGGATAAGAACATCTAATTCTTTAAAAAAATCTCCCGATGATGGATAATGGTCTCAAGAAATGATTGTTATATAAACAATGATTGTTATCATCTTCGTTTGATCTAGTTTTATATCTATAATGATCATAATATATATATATGTATATATATATATAGATATGTATCTCACTCACTCTCTCTCTCTCTATATATATATATATAATTCCGTTACATCTATTATATAGGATCATAAGATTATAAATGATCATAATCTATAGGAAGCATCCCATGGATCGATCAAAAAAAGTGCCACAGGCGCCATGGAACTCTATCCTCGGGACACCGATGACATGCGCGTGGTGCTTGAGACCGGACACGTGAGGCGAAAAACCTCGGCCACTGGAGTGACTTGGAAGTGGAAGCTGATTGGGCTGAGATCTACAGGTGAACTTTTTTTTGACTTTGCAGCTTTCAGAGAGCAGTGCCCGCAAGCAACGTGAAACAAACATGGAAACGAATTCGGAACTGAGGCACCGGCAGCATGCAAAATTAACCAAGCCATACAAGACACAAGGCGCCGCGTAGCGCTCAAAACAAAAATCAAACAAAACCAAACCAAACTTGAAAACTCTGAAAACCCTGGTTGTCCCAACATTCTGATACCTATCTATCTATCAAATCTATCTATCAATCAATCAATCTGTCAATCTATCTATCTGATCTATTTGATCTCTCTGATCAATCTATCGATCTATCAATCTATCAATCTATCAATCTATCTATCAAACTACCAATCTATCAATCTATCAATCTATCAATCTACCAATCTATCAATCAATCAATCTATCTATCTATCTATATATCTATCCATCCATCTATCTATCTACCTACTGTATCTATCTATCCAACTAAGTATCTAATCTATCTAACTGTCTATCTATCTAATCTATCAATCAATCAATCAATCTATCAATCTATCTATCTATCTGTCTAAACTAAACTAAACTAAACCAATCTAATCTAATCTAGTCTATCTATCCTATCTATCTCCTATCTATCTCCTATCTATTTCCTCTATCTCCTATCTATCTCTCATCTATCTCCTATCTATCTCCTGCCTATCTCCTATCTATCTCCTATCAATCTCCTATCTATCTCCTATCTATATCCTATCTATCTCCTATCTATCTCCTATCTATCTCCTTTCTATCCCCTATCTATCCCCTATCTATCTCCTTTCTATCTCCTATCTATCTCCTATCTATCTCCTATCTATCTCCTATCTATCTCCTATCTATCTCCTATCTATCCCCTATCTATCTCCCATCTATCTCCTATCTATCTCCTATCTATCTCCTATCTATCCCCTATCTATCTCCTATCTATCTCCTATCTATCCCCTATCTATCCCCTATCTATCCCCTATCTATCCCCTATCTATCCCCTATCTATCCCCTATCTATCCTATATCTATCCTATATCTATCCTATATCTATCCTATATCTATCCTATATCTATCCTATCTTTCATATCTATCCTATCTATCCTATCTATCCTATCTATCTATCCTATCTATCTATCTATCTATCTATCTATCCATCCTATCCTATCCTATCCTATCCTATCCTATCTATTCTATCTATCTACTGTACCTATCTACTGTATCTATCTACTGTTACTGTTTCTATCTACTGTATCTATCTACTGTATCTATCTACTCTATCTATCTACTCTATCTATCTACTCTATCTACCTACTGTATCTATCTACTGTATCTATCTACTGTATCTGTCTACTGTATCTATCTACTGTATCTATCTACTGTATCTATCTACTGCATCTATCTACTGCATCTATCTACTGTATCTATCTACTGTGTCTACCTACTGTATCTATCTACTGTATCTATCTACTGTATCTACCTACTGTATCTATCTACTGTATCTATCTACTGTATCTACCTACTGTATGCATCTACTCTATCTATCTATCTTTCTATCTTTCTACCTATCTATCTTTCTTTCTATCTATCTTTCTATCTATCTATCTTTCTATCTATCTATCTAGCTATCTACCTAATTTAGTCTAATCTAATCTAATCTATTCTAATCTATTCTAATCTATTCTGTATTCTAATCTATTCTATATTCTAATCTATTCTAATCTATTCTAATCTAATCTAATCTATTCTAATCTATTCTAGTCTATTCTAGTCTATTCTAGTCTATTCTAGAATCTATTCGAATCTATTCTAATCTATTCTAGTCTATTCTAGTTTATTCTAGTCTATTCTTGTCTATTCTAGTCTATTCTAGTCTATTCGAATCTATTCTAATCTATTCCAATCTATTCCAATCTATTAAAATTCATTCTAATCTATTCTAATCTATTCTAGTCTATTCGAGTCTATTCCAATCTATTCCAATCTATTCTAATCTACTATAATCTATTCGAGTCTATTCCAATCTATTCCAATCTATTCTAATCTATTCTAATCTATTCTAATCTATTCTAATCTATTCTAATCTATTCTAATCTATTCTAGTCTATTCTTGTCTATTCTAGTCTATTCTAGTCTATTCTAGTCTATTCTAGTCTATTCGAATCTATTCCAATCTATTCCAATCTATTCCAATCTATTCTAATCTATTCTAATCTATTCTAATCTATTCTAGTCTATTCGAGTCTATTCCAATCTATTCCAATCTATTCAAATCTATTCTAATCTTTTCTAATCTATTCTAATCTTTTCTAATCTATTCTAATCTATTCTAATCTATTCTAATCTATTCTTATCTATTCTAATCTATTCTAATCTATTCTAGTCTATTCTAATCTATTCTAATCTATTCTAATCTATTCTAATCTATTCTAATCTATTCTAATCTATTCTAATCTATTCTAATCTATTCTAATGTATTCTAATCAATTCGAATCTATTCTAATCTATTCTAATCTATTCTAATCTATTCCAATCTATTCCAATCTATTCTAATCTATTCTAGTCCATTCTAGTCTATTCTAGTCTATTCTAGTCTATTCTAGTCTATTCTAGTCTATTCTAGTCTATTCTAGTCTATTCTAATCTATTCTAATCTATTCTAATCTATTCTAATCTATTCTAATCTATTCTAATCTATTCTAGTCTATTCTTGTCTATTCTAGTCTATTCTAGTCTATTCTAGTCTATTCTAGTCTATTCGAATCTATTCCAATCTATTCCAATCTATTCCAATCTATTCCAATCTATTCTAATCTATTCTAATCTATTCTAGTCTATTCGAGTCTATTCCAATCTATTCCAATCTATTCCAATCTATTCTAATCTATTCTAATCTATTCTAGTCTATTCGAGTCTATTCCAATCTATTCCAATCTATTCAAATCTATTCAAATCTATTCAAATCTATTCTAATCTATTCTAATCTATTCTAATCTATTCTAGTCTATTCTAATCTATTCTAATCTATTCTAATCTATTCTAATCTATTCTAATCTATTTTAATCTATTCTATATTCTAATCTAATCTAATCTATTCTAATCTATTCTAGTCTATTCTAGTCTATTCTAGTCTATTCTAGTCTTTTCTAGTCTATTCTAGTCTATTCTAGTCTATTCTAGTCTATTCTAATCTATTCTAATCTATTCTAATCTGTTCTAATCTGTTCTAATCTGTTCTAGTCTATTCTAGTCTATTCTAGTCTATTCTAATCTATTCTAATCTATTCTAATCTATTATCTATCAGTTTTTTTTCAAATATGTCCATGACATGTTGTTAGAAAACGTCATTATTCGGTCATCGTTGTTTCTTTGTGTGTCCCCATGCAGTGGGATGCGTGAAAGGACCCGTTGTGGTCAGTCACTGGGGGAGATATTCTGTCATACCCTCTGGTTATGACTCACATAGCCATGGAAAGATCCACCATTTTTCATAGGTAAACCATCTATTTCTATGGGCCATCTATACCATGGCTATGTTAAATTACCAGAGGGTATCTCAGTTCTAGCTGGGGTTCTGGCCCCAACTGCAAACCATGAAAACTGCCTTCATCTACGTTCAAATATCCACGATTTGGTGGAATCGTGGAAGATGGGTTTTGGAAGACATCCAGTGACAACTTACCACACTGACTGAAGAGTGTATATCGGATGTCATCACAGGTAAGAAATGTGCAGCCCTTTTAAATTTACATAACATAGACTAATTTTTATTGGAAACCAATCTTCTAACCCCTATCTGTCAGGTTCTTTGTTAATTTACTGGAGGGTAATTGCTATTTATTTCTCACAGGGAGGTAGGGGTCCAATTAATGTCGCTGGTTGAATTTCACCCGAAAATGGTGAATAAGTCGATTGGAGATGTGAGAAAGGAACTTGCACGCAAGGACAGGGTTTATCAAGGTTTCTCTATTTTTTAAAAAGTATGTGTATATATGTATATGAATTGTGTTATGCTTGTTACTATTATTGCTATTAGGAATTACTATAATATACTATATTGTGTTTTTGATTTCTTGACATTTTTCTTGCATTTTTCCTGACGCTCTCGGGAAAAACTCAAAAAAGGTGTCTGCAGTGATTTCTTGAGGCGAATGCCGTCAGCTCCCGCAGCCACGCGGTATGCATCATTCGTCTCTTCAAGACTGGTGGCATGCTGGTCCTAGTGGACTGCGCCGGAAGCGAACGCAAGAAGGACGGGTCGACATTTTTTGGGACGCGCTGCAAAGATGATTTTTTTGGACGTGGGGTGGTTGAAGATGGGGACGAATATTGGGGATCCATTGGAAAGACTTGAAGGAATTGATGCGGAGTCTCCAAAATTTATTCATCATCCTGTCCCTTTCAGCCACTTTCAGGCACTTTCAGGCACTTTCCCCCCAAATCAGGTGTCCAAAATTTATGGGATCTTGAGGGATCATTTTTCGAGCATGTTGGCTGGTCAGGACTCTATGTACCACACCAAGGAGCGACAACAGGAGAGTGCGGAAATCAATACCTCGATGCTTGGACTCTGCCTGGAGCGGTTGGCTACCTTGCAACTTTTCCACCAGGGTCGGCTGTCCTGTATATAGGATTATATAGGTACATATTTTTGCTGGGAAGATCCTCAGGTCTTTTGCTGATGTGTTCTAATGCTGGCAACATGCACCTGTTTCGTTGGTGAAATGACCGGCCCAACGTTGTCGGTGCTTATCTCGCCATTTTGATTTAATGGTGATCCAAGGTTGCCAAACCATGCAAACCATTGAAAACGATGAAGAACCATGAGGTTTTTCAACATGCACTAAGAAATGCCATGCAAATAGCTCCCCAAATATCACCATCCCAACTGCCTCAATCCATCGCAGTTTAGGCTATCCTCACTGAAGGATTGCATTCGATCACTCAGTTCTCAGCCCAAAGTTCCGCCGCTCGACAGATTGTATTTGTGCGGGTTGCTTTGCCCCTGAAATGTTCATCATAAAATCCTTGAATAGGTCTCTCTCTCTCTCTCTCTCTGTATGCACACGTACACACACACACATACATATATAATTATATATATATGCATGTTATAATCCCTTCCTCCTAATACTAACCCCCCAAATAATAAACACCTCAGGTAGTTTTTGGTATTAGGGTGGTATTTATTATTAGGGAACCCTATTAAAAAAATTAAAACCTTAATAATAAAAACTATTTTTTCCGATCTCAAAATCAATTAAATTTCCTTATATAACGCCATTAAAATATTGCCAAACATTGGATTTTGAAGCGGACCCTATTAATATATAAAATTAAAACCTTAAGAATGAAAAACTAGTTTGTTCGATCTCACAATCAAGTCAATTTCCTTAATTATATAACGCCATTAAAATATTGCCAAAAATTGGATTTCGAAGCGGACCCTATTAATAAAATTAGACCCTTAATAATAAAATCATATAAAATCTATTTTTTCCGATCTCAAAAACAATTAAATTTCCTTATATAACGCCATTAAAATATTGCCCAAAATTGGATTTCGAAGCGGACCCGATTAATAAAATTAATCCCTTAATAATAAAAACCATTATTTCCAATTTCAAAATCAATTAAATTTCCTTATATAGCGCAATTAAAATATTGCCAAAAATTGGATTTCGAAGCGGGCCCTAATAAGAAATTAAAAGCCCTAATATAAAAAACAAAACAAAATCGGACGGACCCTAATAATAAACACCCCGGGGTGAACTAGTTTTTTATTATTAGGGGGCAAAAACCACAAATGGTAGCTTTATTTTTAAATTGTTTTCTAAAGGGGGTCAATTAAAAGTCAAATTGGCCAATCTGATTTTTTTGCGAAATTAGAGATGGACCCTAGTTTTTAGTATTTTGGGGGCGTTTAGTAATAGGGGGAAGGGATTATTCAAATATATATATATATATATGTATATATACAATTATATACACATATATTTATATATATACACATATATATATAATATTATATACATATATTATACACATATATATATATATATGATATTATTTACATATATTATACACACATATGTATATATATATATACATATATATATATATACATATGTGTATATACATATATTATATGTGTCCATGTGTGTGTGTGTGCGCGCGCACGCCCCCATTTGGGGAGCTTTTACATCTTTTGAAACATGTTCGAACATGTTTAAACATCACCTATGAACTTTATTGACATCTTGAATTTAGTGCCTAAACAGTTTGTGACTGCGATGGTGGTTTTTGGTGGAATCTGCAAAGCATGTTGGGGAATTTGCTCCTTCCAGGATTCCAGAGATCAGAGATGCATCTCTGAGGTTTTTCCATATTTTCCATATCCTTTTGTGAATTTACCGGAGGGTATGCAGGGACCCTGGCAAACAGTTGTGATTTTTTTCAGATTTTCCAAGGGATGCCAGGGGATGCCTTTGGGCCCCCAGCCCAGGTCACATGTGTATCGCACATCCTCGTTGACCAAAGTCTTGGCCGACGCCTTCATTTCTGGAGACCGGGGCAGGCCCCGTCCAACCGGGTCGACCCGGGGAATTCAGGGGAACGCCCCGTAATCGTGGAGGATCCGCGCCGCCAGCGCCATGGTCAAAACTGGGGTGTCAGATTCCTTCACCTTACCATCTGGTTATTTAATAGAGCCATGGAAAATCACAATTTTTAATAGGTAAACCATCTATAAACGGACAATTTTCCATGGCTATGTTAAATAATCAGAGGGTAGCTAATCTTAATTATCAGATATTTGTTCAAAACATCCCCCACCAATGGAAGTCAAGCGACCTTTCTTCGCGAGAATTTTGGTCAAGACTGATATGTCTTATTGATCTTGGGATGGTCATGCCCCAACAGCAGGCAATTCAGCAAGGGGGTTTCATGTGTTAATCAGATTTGCCACCCTGTAAGCCAACATAGATGTGGAAAATCACCATTTTCTACAGGTAAATCATCTATATAGATGGTCCATTTTCATCCATTTTCCACATTTTAGCTTACCCTTGGGTAATCATCATGCATTCTTGAACACTGGGATGTAGAATTCCCCAGCTTTCCACTGCAGGCTTGCCGTAATATGCACAGCTTCGCCCTGCGCCACCGATACCGAACATACCATCAGTACCTTGCGGTTGGGAGCCACTTTAGCGGGCTTTGCGGACACGGAAGAAAAGGAGAGGCACATTTTTGGGGTCAAGAAAAGGGGTGTCTCAGCCACAAGGAGGCCCAGTATTGAATTTGACCGGGAAATTCTGCAAAATTGGGATGAATGGTATGAAGATGGTGAATCTGCTTGTGAGTGGTGACTTGCAGGGATGAATATGAGCAGCAGCTATCTCCTTCAAAGCGTGATCAGCAGTACTGGAAACCATCATGATGGCATCAAGAATAGCGATCATCCGATATGATTTGCTAGTGCATGCTAGTGCTTTGGTGGTTCCACAATAATGGTCCACACCTTTTTACTTGTCCGTCTTGTATAGTTTTCCTATGCCCCATGCTGACATTTGCAGGAAAAACGCCACCAGAACACGAAGGCTGATATTGGTTCAGGCAGACAGTGCACTTGATGAAAAATCAGCTTTCATATACATATACATATAGATATACATATGCATATGTGCACATGCACATGCATATGCACATGCATATACATATACATACATATACTATACACACACATATATATATATATAAATATACATATAATACAGAACATGTGTATATGTATGTGTATATATATATATAGAGTATATGTATATGTATGTATACGAGAGAGAGAGAGAGAGAGCACACACACACACACATATATATATATATATACATACATATACATATACAGGGAGGGTGTACGTATGTGTATACATCCTTTGAAGTATGTGCTGTGCATGTAGAAATGGTTGGGGTCCATCCTGCAGGAGCCTTTGATGGATCTACTTCGCGAGCATCGGGGTCCACCCGAAACACATCCGAACCAATGGACTCCGGATGCTGGGCAGCACCACATGGACACAGTGCAGTCGTAGGGATGAAACGGAAATGAAGTACCCTCTGGTTATGTCAACATAGCTATTGAACATAGCCATAGAAATAGTGGATTTTCCTATTTAAAATGGAGATTTTCCATAGTTATGTTAGTTTAACAGAGGGTATACAGCCGCTCCCTCTAGATAGAACATCGAGGACTTGAAATTATGAAGTAGAAGCCGGGCACCGTACAACATGCTGGAAACATCTCTTCAATTTATAGTCTATTCAATTCTTTTTAAAGCCACTAAACCACGGGCCACTGGAGGCATTCCGACCATGGTCGGAATCAATGTGAAAAGCCACTGAAGCGCGGATCATTTGGGATCATCTCAAATGGTAAATGGTCAGTTTTTTTGGGGGGCAAACCTACGAATGTTGGACCCTTGTTTAACAGGGTAGCCGTTTTACGTTGTGAAGTGTTGAACAGCTGTGCATGGATCATGGATCCACAAAGAATCAACTATTTTTTGAAATAGATGTTTATAGTCCATAATTATAGTATCCATAGTTATCAATAATATAGTTATAAACAGTTATAGCTATACTTAATTTTCAACTCTTGTTTATAGTCCATATATTCTCCAGCTCTCAATGACGTGCTAAGCCATATATCTCCGACCATCCGACGGAAATCTCCTGGGATAATCAGCGCGATCGTTTTTTGCTGCCAGGATCAGGTGAGAGCAACTGAGCTGCAGTGGGAGAGCGGCCTTGACCACTGATACCCTCTGGTTATGTCAAAATAGCTATTGAAAATGGCCATAGAAATAGTGGATTTTCCCATTAAAAATGGTGATTTTCCATAGTTATGTTAAATTACCAGAGGGTAAAATGTGGGTGGTTCATTTTGTCTGATCAAATGTTGAACCAATGATATCAATGATCCATTTTTTGGATCATTGTAGATGACCTGAAAAATAAACCACGGTCTTTAGTAGTGTGGCGATGTTAGATTACTAGAGGGCCCCAAAATCATTCTTAAAGACTTAAAGATACAATATAGTATATACAATACATATACATACACACACAGATGGATAGATGGATGGATGGATAGTTTTAAAAATTGGAAGAATATCATCACCCTAATTCCAGGCAAACCCAGGTGATATTAAAACGGCTTGTAACGATTACATACGATTACCACATCGTTGTAGCCTATGGATCATCCATCTCTGGCACCGCGGCTTTCAGCCTTCGCAAGGCATGGATTGCGGAAGTCCAAAATGGCGACTTCGTGGAAATTCTGGGCAGTTTGCCAAGCAACACCACTGGCCAGATGTTGGTGAGATTCACTGAATCTAGATGTGTGCAGCTTTGATTCTCGGCAGCAAGGCTGAAACTCTGCGACCTGTTTCTGATTTCGTGGTTCTATGTGATGTTAGCGTAAGCTTCATGGTCATGGGCCATGGGGTTTTGAGGTGGCGGCAATGCCAGACGCGGCCAATTGTTTTTCAAGCTCTTACACAACGTGATGCAGCGGGTTGATGCTTCCCGGAGACAGTGCGTCAAGGGACATAGCATGCTACGATCCACAAGCGCTGACCGCTATGGAGGGGGCTTGCAGCCGCAAAAAAACTTCGCAGCTGGGTTTTGCTGTGACTTTGGAGTCTTAAACATAACATGTGGCCAAAATGCTTCATCCACAATCTCGGTTGCTGGTAAATGAGCACAAATCCCCAGAGTATCCCAATTGCTGATCATGGATGATCGAATGAGTGGATTTCATATCCCACTTCCTTTGGCCTGGCATATTTGAGAGGCTCAAAATGGCCTCCCAGAGCCGGCACCCCTCTGCGTCAGGCCTTCGAGTGACGCGACGCGGCAACTCGACCAAAAAAATACTGGCCTTCCGAGCGTTTTCCGCCTTGAGGTGTTCTTTTCCAGGAAGAAAAAAACCCATGGAAATTCCATCCCAAACCAACATTTTAAGATATCTTAACCATCTCACACTGCGGCCCTTTGGCTTGGTGAGGCAAGCAGTTTTTTTGAAGTGAAGCTGTGGAGCTGTCAACTTGCATGAGATCATGAACATCTTTTTCAATGAGGTTGGGTGTGATTGGAGAAAACGGAGCCAAGGCTTGACATGTAAATGAACTTCAATCAATCTATAGCTTCACGAATAAACCAAGTTTTTGGCCAGTATTTTTGCAAGATTCTTGCGCATTTAACATCGTTGATTCCCAATTGACCATGTTCATCCTTTTCCAGCATTAGCATTGTTTAAAACATCTGGATCCATTTGGGACGTTCGTGGTTCCCCTTTTTTCCGGCCTTTTTGGTGTGGCACCAGCACCGAAGTCATCACTCATGGCGTTGGTTGCAAATGCTGGGCCCCTGCACTGGAACCGTGCCAGTGCCCTTGCTTCTGCAGTGTGGAGGCTTAGGCGACTAAGGAGTCAGTGCTAGTTTTTGTTGGAAGGTTTTTCTCCCACAATTGGTGAGATTCTAGATGATCTTGGGTAAATACCTGACATGAATAGAAAAGAACTAAATCCCAGGTTATGGGTACTTCCCACGGACTAAGCTTTGGGAAAGAAGTTCCACATTCCGCAGCTCAATGCCCGGATGAGTCAAGAGTTGAGCGAGTCGCCAAGGCTAAGAGGAACTGGGCCAAACAGTTACAGTTGTGCTACCCGAACTATTGGGATGACCTAGGGAAATTCATGGACAAAATCACGAGGTCACCCATACCGCACCCCGAATTTTTGGATGCCAAGATCCTGAGGAAAAACAAGGAGGTCTTGCTGGTCTTGCTTGACAGCATCATTTCCCTCCCCTACCGCCAAAACTTTCCAAGGTCCGATAGGCTGAATAGGTTTCAAGCTTGTTGGGGCCTTCAAAAACTGGGGTTTGTACGTTTCTGGAAGCTGAAACTTGGTTTGAATGCTGGAAACGTCCAGATTTTTCGAGCCTTCTAAGATTTCTAAGGGCTTTTTTGGTTGAGCGAGAAATGGTTTGAGGTTGAGTGAATCACAGCGATTTGGCGAGCGCGAGATAAAGTATATCGCCAAAAGTGCATTTGGGCAGTGGGAAAGTTTGATGAACGAATTCCTGGACCGGTTTTAGGATTGCAAGCACCTTCTGGGAGGTTCCAACGCCAAGAAAAGGCGAAGGTGTAAACCTAGGACATCCTAGGACTTAGAGAAGGCCCGCACCAGTGCGGATCCTATCCTGTGCCGAACCAAGGGTGCACAATCCAAGGTTTTAAACACATGAGTGAATGTCAATGATATATGATGATACATGATAGCAATTTATAGCATACATAATCATACATCCTTTGTTAATCTAGGTTTATAATCCCATAGGATCCATGTATGGTATATATGCTAACATTTGGGGTATATTGATGGTAAATGCCACCATATATAGCATACATGGATCCTATGGGAATATACATTTTATGTATACAAATCGTATATTTGGTCATGATATCAGATGGATATCCCTGTCTCTTGTGCACATCTCGGTAGCATCGTTTCGGCCACCAGGCTGTGACCAGCGTTCTGGGGCTGATCACCGTTTGGTACTTGCGGAGGCGGATCGAAGGGAGAGGGACATCCCCATGGTGGCCATGGCGGCCATGGAAGCTCCGCCAGGCAGTGCACGCTTTTGCTTCCAGCCGGGGCCCTCAAGCCACACCTTGGTGGCCCGAGCCAAATTTTGCCAGCAATGATAGGTACATTACAAGATATGATGGAAAAACGATGAAACAAGTTGGTGATTGATGATGATTTTTTGATATTTTTTGGATGCTTGAGTAACTTGAGTAGCTGACATTGTTTGTTCAGTGGATGGTTAGGCCTAGGCTTTGATACTTGATGACTGATGCTGGGATACCCTTGACCACCGGAGGTCAAACGGCGCTGCACAGACAAAGAGGCTGCACAGACGTATACCCTTCGGTGTCATCCATGGCTGGGAATTTCCTGAAGGTTTACAGCTGGGAGAATCATCAAACCATGTTTGACCAGATGGTAATCATATCTGGTTGGTGGTTAACATTTTTTATTTTCCATAATAGGATAATCCTTCCCATTTCATTGACTTTCATATTTTTCAGAGGGGTTGAAACTGCGAATTGCATATTCCCTATTTAGCATTCATGTCATGACTTTGCAATTGTCATTTCAATCAATGGGCATTTCACCATAGCCCTTTTTCCAAGCTCAAAGATCGGTCGGAAAAGACCGGTGAGTCCAACGTGAAGGACTTTGGAAAGAGAGTTAAAAGCGCAGGACCACTTGTCTGACCGTGGAGGACTTTGCGTGTCTAACGCAAGGAGTTTGAGGTGTGGACTAGTACCTGGCTTTTCTGGCCGAAGACGTGTCAGGACTGTCAGTGCTAGTACCCCCGATAATATTACCCGGGTGAACCTGTCGCGAGCAGGTTATGAGCCCAACGCATGGGGACTCTGCTGAAATGATGCTCAGAAGAAGAAGGTCTGAGCCTGATGATGAAGAGTCAAAGAAAGACCAAACAGCGTCAAGCACCCGGGCAAGCGCGAGGAACCAAGGGGCAGAGATGGCTCTAGTGGCAGTGGATAGGGAAAGGGTTGGAAAGCCTTCACCAAATGGTCCTGTTGGGGAAGATATGAAAACCCCCTTGCCAATAGAAGACTTTCCAGCAGAACCTGTAGGATCCCCTAAGGCCCTAGGACCTAGGAACCTCCAGCCACTGTTCAATGAAGCTCAGCTAAAGAAGGCTGAGGAGCTCAGGTTGAGTGCACCACTTTTGCAGGGCCCAAGCCCCACCGCAGTAAGCCAGTCCACCGGCGGATGGGATGGGGGTTTGGCGGCAGGGAAGGTGGGAATGGGGAAGGAAGCTGACATGTCAGAGGGACCATCAAGGAAGGGTCCGGAAGTCTTGATGATGTCACCAATGGGATATCCCTTAGCACCTCAACATGGTTATGGATACGTGCCACACCCCACACAACAAGGAATGTTTGATGAGATGATGTGGCAGTTTCGACAAGAAATGGGACAAATGTCAAAGTCTCTCACCCAGCTTCAAGAAGAAAATTTGAGGTTGAGGATTCAGCTTATGGAAGAACGAGAGACTAGATACACAACACCTCCCGATGTCACTCCTGCTGAAGGTCTCCTTGACAGCGCCCGCCGTCAGAAGGTTTCAGGAAAGAAGCCCAAGTCCAAAGGTGTAGAAGCCAAGCAGGAAGACTTTGAAGCTTCGAAGCCAAAGGAGGATGCAAGTCGAGGAGAACAGGAGGCTGAGACCCCCAAAGCAGAGGAGGAAGTGATTGGAAGGAAGCTTGAAGAAGTTTCTAAGGAGGATGGTCCAGCTGGACAGCAAGAGTCCAGTGAGGAGAGTCAATCGATTCAAGAAGAGGAGTCGGAAGATTCAGTGAATGTGAAAGATCACAAAGGAAGATCAAAAAAGGAGGACACCACAGTGGACGTGATGCTCAAGTTGATGCAAGGGATGCAATCGCTGCAACAACAGCTCTTGGATCGAGAGACGATCAGGGGCCGACGGCTAACAGAGGACGATGAAGAGGAGCATGTGAGGAGCAGTGTAGAGCTGCACAAACTGCCGGAGTGGACAGCTGAGAATGCTCCGGTGGACTTACAGGACTGGTTGCTTCTCATCCATGCACAGATGTCGGATCTCACTACCAGCAGTTCAGAATGGTGGGATCTAGTGGTTGAGACTGCGAAGGACTGGTACCACAAACACCAAGCCATGAAGCCCATCGACAAGCTGAAGCATGAAGTCAGGGCACCACCGCAACTACAGCAGAAGAAATGGAGAAGGTTGGAGAAGAGAGGAAGCAGTTTGCTTCTTCAGGCCTTGCCCAGTAGTCAGCGTGATGACATTGTGGCAGGGAAAGACCTTTCAGTGTTGGCGATTTTGGCAAAACTCCTCAACAACTACCAGCCTGGTGGTTCCCATGAAAAAGCAGCAGTGCTGGCCGCTTTGGAGCTGCCGGCAGAAGCGGTGGGGATCGGCGAGGGCATCCTGGGACTACGTCGTTGGTTGAGATGGAAGAAAAGGGCAGAAGACATGGGCCTTCAGTTGCCCGATCCATCGGTCCTTTTGAGGGGCCTGGACCGGCTGGTCTCCAAGATTTTGGCTGGCAATCCAACCTTGCAGTTTCGCATTAACCTGACGAGGACAACACTGATGGTGGATTCTGTGCCCACTATGTCTTCCATTGACCAGTTGGCCGAATGCTTACTGGCTGAGATGGACCAGGTCTCCTATGCCAAAAAGAAGGAAAAGGCAGCCATCGCAGGAGTTCCTAAAGCTCGGAAGATGGAGGAGGCAGGAAAAAGAAGCGAAGTGCCTCAAGCCAAGAAGGGCGATGAGGGTAAGAAGGAGATGCCAAAGTGTAAGTACTTCCTGACGGAGAATGGATGCCGTCGAGGAAAAGCTTGCAGATGGGATCACAACCAGAAGGATGACCAGCGTCGCTGCTGGAATTGCGGGTCCACAAAGCACTTCTCCAACAAATGTCCAGTGAGTGAGGGCCAAGGAGAAGTCAAAGTGGCCAAAGCCGAAAAAGATGGCGAAGCCAGAAAGAAGAAGAATGATGAGGAGGACAATCAGTCCGACCGAGCAGTTGCTGGAGCGGACGATATGAAGAGTCTACTGGAAGAAGCTGGAAAGATGCTGAAGGTGATTCCAGGAGCTTCGCAGGAAAGCTCATCGGTTGAGGAGACCGGTGATGCCAAAATCAGGAGACTTCAAAGACAGCTGGATGAGCTTCGAGCTTCTTCGGTGAGAGTGCTGCGATTGGCCAGGGTCCAAGCAGCTGTGGAAGATTTGGGACTCCTTGACAGCGGAGCTACCCATCCTCTTCGACCTCCAAAGAAAGATGAGGATCTGTCCAAATGTCAAAAGGTGAGGATCAATCTGGCCGGAGGAAAACAAACAATGATGATGCTTTCAGAAGGTGGTGCCATCATAGGCTCTGAGGATGTGGAGCCCATCGTGCCACTGGGAGCGTTGGTGGAGAACTTGGGTTGCTCTTTGCAATGGACCGAAGGCCATATGGTCCTGTATCACCCCTTCAAGGGGCAGATTAGCACCCAGCTCAAAGAAGGTTGCCCGATGATCAACAAGTCTGATGCTTTGGAGTTGATCGAGGAGTTGGAAAAGAAGGCACCCGAGCTGAGGAGTGTAGAAGGATCCGCAGCTGAAGCCTACATGCACTGGATGAAGCGCTTGGTAGAAGAACACCCAGCACTTCAAGGAGTTCCAAAAAGAATCACAGAAAGGTTGGTGATCAGCCCTAAGGAAGGACATATCACCGGAAACCGAAGCCGAAGAAAGCTATGGAAGAAAGAAGGAGGTGTGACGTTGTACCTCTACTCAGGACCCAATGAAGGGTACACTATGGCCAAGGCCATTCAGCTTCTCGGAGGAGAAAAAAGAAAGGTCATAGCGGTGGACATCAAGAACGGAGCCAAATGGGATATGATGGAGGATGACCTCTATGCTGAGCTCATGGACATGGTCATCAAGGGCCAAGTGGAGTCCTTGGTGATGTCTCCAAATTGTCGCACTCGCTCAAAGCTCCGACATTATGAAGTTGAAGGAGTTGATCTTCCTGGACCGGTCCGAGAGTGGAACGGTGGAGAATGGGGAAAGAAGGGCATCGGAGAAAGAGAGGAGAAGAAGTGCCATGAAGATGATGTGATGCTCTTCAGAGGACTCATGCTCTACATGGTTGCCCAGGAGATCAGGAAAGCATCCCGCCACACCAAAGACATCGACCTTGTCTTTGAGCACCCCAGCACCCCGGCAAACATGCCACAGGTGGTATCGTTCTGGTCCACCCCCCAATGGCAAGCACTCAAGCAAGCATACGGCCTGTGGGAGATCCACTTAGACCAAGGGAAGCTTGGAGGAGGAGGGGTCAAACCCACAACGTTGGGCGGCAACTTGCGCATGCAAGTACCCAGCGTGGTCGTACCAGCACCACAACCTCGATGCACACATGGCAAAACAAAAGAGCAGATAGTGCAGGAATCCCAAAACCTTTCCAGATGGGTCCCTCTGCTTACCGACATGGTAGCATGCGCCCTGCTGGATTCCCAAGGGATCACCCCGAAGTTGAGATCCTGGAGGACACATGTCCAACGATGCCACCAGCCTTTCAGAAAAGACTGCAAGGTATGTCAAGAGGCTGCAGCAAGAGCGAGACCTCACCGGCGTCAAAAACTTCCCCCAAGAGCTGGCGTTCTTTCGGTCGACATCGCCGGACCACTCACCAAAGCTCCAGACCTGGGCAAAGACCATGCTCGTTTTGTCCTGGTCGCGGCGCTCACCTGGCCTACAGGCCTGAAGGGTGACGACTTAGAAGAGTTGCCCGAGGAGGATGATGAGGATGATTTCCCAGGCTGGGAAGAAAATGAGGAGAAACCAAAAGAAGAGATAGGGTCCCAAAAGCCAGGAGCCAAGAAGCGAGGCAGGCCAAGGAAGAAAGACCCTGAGGAGGAGGTTGAGGAGCCCTTGAAGGAGGCTGCAGACCCCCAGAAGAAAGATGATGATGAAAAGGAAGGGGACTATATGACCCGGGTGGCGCCCGATGTTGAATATGAGCCCACTGAACCGGGCGAAGACCCTTTCCCACAGGTGCCAGCACCAGATGTCCCTGAAGAGCAGCAGGCACAAATACAAGTGCACCGTTTGGCATTCCCTTTGCCAGACAAGAGAGGCATCACGATCTTGAATGCCCTGATCGATGCATACCTCACCTTGAGGAGTGAAGGCATGTTTGTCAACCAGCTCCACTCCGATTTAGGAGGTGAGTTCACTGGAGCGTACATCGAAAAGTGGTGCAAGGAAAGATGCATCCTCACAACAACAACCCCAGGGGTATCCCCTCAAACCAACTGCCGAGCAGAAAGGGCCGTACAAGCCATGAAGACAGAGACGAAGAAAATCCTGCGTGGCGCGCAGGTGGGTATCGAATGGTGGCCGATTGCCGTTCGATATCTCAATGAAGTATGGAAGAGAAACAGAACAGAGGCCATTGGGGCCATCCCACCGTTCATGTCCAAAGTGCTGATCAGAAGAAGGTATTGGCGCACAAAGGACATGGAACCCAACAACGAAGAGGTTCACTACCTCGCCCCCTCCTGGCGGAACTATGGGCATTGGGTACTTCGCTCAGACAACACACAAACCTTGACCAGGGCTGTCATCACCAACACCGTGGAGCCAGTCACTGAGGACACGTGGATTGCCTTAGAAGACAATCTGACTCCCTTGGATCTTCGAAGGAGAATTCGAGGAAAAGCCATGATCAGAAAGGTACAAGAGGAGAAAGATGAAGAAAGCAGGCAAGACAGGCTGAAGCGGGAAAAGGTGATACAGGAAGAGGCAGAACATGCCTTCTATGATGATGAAGAGGTTGTTGAGGCCGTACTCAGGGGGGTGAAAGCCATGCAAGAGATGGATCAAGAGGATGAAGGAGAAGTGCTCCAAACGAAAATTGTGGGCACTGCCGAGGTGGTCAAAAAGAAAGACCTTTGGCATCAGGCCATTTCCAACGAGATCAATTCACTCTTCTCAGAAAAGAAAGCGTTGAAGCTTTTGACGAAAGAGGAGAGCGACAAGTATCTCAAAGAAAGAGGAGCGATTCCACTACCTTCCAAGACCGTATTTACGGTGAAGCCAGACCCGGCTGAGCGTCGGGGAAAGCGAAAATGCCGCATAGTCGCATGTGGCAACTATGAGACTGTGGGTGGAGATGAAAACTGTTTTGCGGCAGGGGCAGATGCTGCTGCCCTTAGGCTGGCGCTTGCTCTGGCCACAGTTCGCAAATGGTGCGGAATCAATGTGGACATTCGCACCGCCTTTTTGAACGCTCCCTGGAAACATGAAAAGGGGGGTGAAGATTGGTTTTCTGAAGAAGAAGGCGAAGAAGCTCCGCTGCCAATGCTTCTTAGGCCACCACCAATTTTGGTCAAACTTGGCTACTTTCCTCCCTATCAGCTCTGGGAGGTTTTGCGGGCTCTTTATGGCTTCCGGAGGTCTCCGAAACTCTGGAAGGATTACAGAGATGAGGAGATGGAAAAGATGAGAGTTGGAAAGATGAGGCTGCATCAGCTTGAATCAGAGCCGAGTACATGGGCCATCCGCCAAGAAGAAACTGGCGATTTGCAAGGGCTCATGCTCACCTATGTTGATGACATTTTGGTCCTTGCCTCAGAGGAGACTGCAGAAGCTTGGATCAGCTGCATCCAATCCAAGTGGGAAACCTCCGTCCCTGAGAAGGTGGGCTGTCAGCAAACCACCCGGTTTTTGGGTATGGAGTTGTCTCGAGATCAAAATGGAGTGTGGTGCGCCACTCAACACTCCTACACTTTGGATCTCTTGCAGAAGAACATGGGGATGGACAGACAGAAGTGGGGATTGAAGAAGATTCCCATGTCAAAGGAGGATGGAAGTTTGGATAGTGATGGTGAGGAGGATGCAGAAAAGACAGTGGAAAAGGTTCGAGAAGCACAGAGAATCGTAGGTGAGCTGACCTGGCTGGTGACCAGGTGTCGCCCCGACATCATGTACGTCATGTCCAGAATTTCCAGATGGACCACCAGACGACCTTCCAAGGTCATTGCTGCAGCGCCTCAGATCTGGAAATACCTTGCGAATTCCATCCAAGAAGGGATTCGCTTTGGAGGAAACGAAGATGGTTGCCTAGACCTCCTGGTCTACACTGACGCGGCCTATGGAAATGAAGGCCACGGATGTTCAGTGGTGATGTGGCTGGGAGCTCCAATTTTGTGGCGAAGCTCGCGCCAACAACTTCAAACCGCATCCACAGCAGAGTCGGAGCTGTTGGAGATTTTGGAAGGAGGAGTTTTGGCAGAGGCAGTCCGAGTAGTGGTGGAAGAAATTTTGGAAAAGGCAGTGCGATGTTGGCAGTACTCGGATTCTGCCTCAGCCATCGCCATAGTTGGAGGCGACAGTGCGTCCTGGAGGACGCGCCACTTGAGAAAGAGGGCTCGCTACATGAGATGGCGGGTGCTGAGTGGAGATGTCATCCTCCGACACACTCCAGGCAACGGCATGATCGCCGACCTGGGCACCAAAGCTTTGGCGGCATTGAAGTTGGAGGAGTTGAAGAAAGCCATGGGCATGACAGATAGAAAGATCAAAACAGAGAAAGAAAAGGAAGATCTCGGTGTGGTGAGAGGGCCTACCGAAGAAAAAGAAGAGAATGGCGAGGTGAGAGAGCCGGCCATAGAGACGAAAGAAGTGAAAGGAGGGATAAAGTCCCCAAAAGATATGGTCAGGATGGCGATGATCATGGCCATGCTCAGCCGAGCGAGGGCCGAAGATGAAGATGGAGATGCAGGAGAGGAATCATCCATCTTCTTTGACATGATGATGGTATATACGATAGTGGTGGTGTTGGTCACGTTGGCCATTCAAAGCGGCTGGAAGCGACGACTGCTCAGGGCTGAGACGGCTGTGGGACCAGATCGGTCCCGCGGCGAACTCGCTCAACGGAGTGCCAGGACATTGGGTCTGATGACCGATGGTCCAACCTCCGTCCCGGGTGAGACGGTTCTGGGATTCGGTGGAGGAGACCAATCTCGGGACGAACTCCCCAGGGGAAGCAGTCAGTTGCTCGGGAGTGCCAGGACATCAGGTCTGACGTCACAGACTGGTGGTCCAACCTCCCTGCCGGGTGAGACGGTTCTGGGATTTGGTAGAGGAGACCAATCTCGGGACGAACTCCCCAGGCGAAGCGGCCAACCATCTGGGAGTGCCAGGACGTCGGGTCTAGCGTCACAGACCGATTGTCCAACCTCCCCGCCGGGTGAGACGGTTCTGGGATTTGGTGGAGGAGACCAATCTCGGGACGAACTCCCCAGGCGAAGTGGCCCACCACTAAAAGAAGAAAAGGAAGAAACACCAAAGGCTGTAAAAAGAGCCAAAAGTATGGGCCAGTCTTCTGCGTCCAAACAGGACGGACAGAAGAACACTTATGGCCAACCAGCTTCAAAACTGGAAGCTCCGCTACCAGAAGATCAAACAGCCTCTGCAGGAATCCAAGAACCAGCGATTCCCAAGGCGGCAGCAGAAAAGAAAGAAGTTGCTCCGCCACCAAAAGTTTTGCAATCAAAGTCAAAAGGAAAGAAAGGTGATGAAAAGAAGCCAAATGAAACGACCTCAACAGGGATGACGCAGATCAGAACCAACCATGCTGCAGCCGAGCCAAAAGTTGCAGCTTCCTCATCCACCAGCACTGGTGCTCAGATCCCTGCGGATCCATCTTCCAGTGCTGACCCATCGATTGACCTGTACTTTACAGGCCTTGGAAAGAAATATCACTTCCGAAAGGATTGCTATGGGTTGAGAAATTCACAGATGGTGCGACACACCGATATCTGTGAGCAGTGTGTTCCTCAACTTCGCGGATGGCATCCTCGAGGGAGAGACATGTATGGAGCTGGATTGAATGGACCCCAGCACACCGATGTGACTCACTGCGAAAAAATGCATGGATATTCCATTGCGTATCAGCCGTGTAACTGGTGTGCGAGGCCAAATGGAAGCGAAAAGTGAAAAAGGTGCGATGACATGCAAAGTGAAAAAATTTGGAAAAGAAGAGCGGAAAAAGAACATCTGAGAGAGGGCTTGAGCTTTGAATGTAACACTGTCGTGTAGATGGTGTGAGATATATTTTGCTTTTTTCGTGTGACTGTGCCTCTAGCGAAACACAGTCAGGGGGTGTGCGAATTGCATATTCCCTATTTAGCATTCATGTCATGACTTTGCAATTGTCATTTCAATCAATGGGCATTTCACCATAGCCCTTTTTCCAAGCTCAAAGATCGGTCGGAAAAGACCGGTGAGTCCAACGTGAAGGACTTTGGAAAGAGAGTTAAAAGCGCAGGACCACTTGTCTGACCGTGGAGGACTTTGTGTGTCTAACGCAAGGAGTTTGAGGTGTGGACTAGTACCTGGCTTTTCTGGCCGAAGACGTGTCAGGACTGTCAGTGCTAGTACCCCCGATAATATTACCCGGGTGAACCTGTCGCGAACAGAAACCACCAAGCAGATAAAGATTTACCGCTCCATGGAGGGTGAATCCGCAGAAATCCGCAGATGGATTGGCTGGATGACAGTTCCTCATCGTGTGGGATGGACATCTGGACATCCGAGTTGCTCAATGACATGGATAGTTGTTGATGTAGTGGACAGTTCTTTTTTGTGTCATCCGATGAGCCCATTTGCCTCGCTGATGTGATAAATGTTGAAGCTATATATATATATAGCTATAGTATGCTATAGTATGCTATAGATTCTATAGATGCTATAGTATCCTATAGTATGCTATAGATGCTAGTTTCTTATAGTATGCTATAGTATGCTATAGTCTATAGTCAGTATAATTATTATCATTTTGCTTGAGATGTAACGCTTACGCCATTCGGATAGATTTGACCCCACACCATCCCACTTTTACTGGTTGGATGGCCAGGTATTGGCCGAGGCTGAGGAGGTTCGCAGAAGGTACTGCCTCAGCGAGGTGCTTGACAAAAATCTGAGGAACATATCCCCAAAGTCCCATCAAACCGGAAAATGGTGATCCAATGGAGGGGGTAGTCCATTGTCCATTTTCGGAACACATGAAGGTCAGGCCGTCAGGCGACGTGTGTTTGAGTTGGAATCTTGAAACCATCCCTAAACAGGACGTTACGCAATACAACGCCATAGCACCAATCCTTTCCCACAGGGAAGTGCCCGCTAGGCCGGTGGCTTCTTGCCAAACGATTGCCTGGATCGTTTGCCCGCGGAAGCTTAGCAGAAAGCTTTGACGGAGGGGTGGTGGTTTCTCAGGGGCACGAGTTCCTTTCGGTTGGCAATTTCATATGGTTTGGAAGGAAATCCATGGAAATCCAGTGTTCACTTCACCCAACTTGGCAAGATGATACGCCCAAATTCATGGAGCTGCAGGAACAACGAGAGAGGTAAAGCCAAAGCTCACTTCCCCGGGTCCACCCATTTCCAGATGAGGCAGCATACCCTCTGGTAATTTGTTACATAGCTATGGGACATCACCATTTTTAATGGGACAATCCACTATTTCTATGGCCATTTTCAATAGCTATTTTGACATAACCAGAAGGTAATCCGAATGACCACCTTTGGGATCCATCCCATTGGCTCAGGAATTTGATGCATGGGAGGCGGGGGTTCCCCGCACCCTGGCACCATCATGGACCCGATGCCGAAGTACATCGAAGTACTGAACCGCTGGCACTGGATGTTTTCAGATCCTAAAGATCCGAACAAACACTGTTGGCTCCCAACAGGTACCCCATGGCATGTTGTCAGACTTGCCTATCTTGCCTGCCCGAGCCACAATGTGTTGAGAAGACTCAGTAGACATTGGTTCAAAAAAATGTAGCTTCATTCCCTCAATTAATTGTATCCACTTTCATTGAGGGAAGTATATGACATGCCAACAAAAATCATCAACCACGACTTTATCTGATTGGTGGTTTCAAAATCAAGTTTTTTTTTTCCAATCTGTTTTCCCATAAAAAAAGGGAGGACCATCTCCATTGCCGAGCCGTAGCCATTTGATGTTCGCAGCCTGGGCCTCCGACCTGGCCATGTCTGACGCGGCCTCAGTCCCCGGCAGCAGCGAATGTGAATGGCACATGTTTATGGGATGTGTCCGATTTTGTGACAAACTATATGAATTCTATATAATTCTATATGATCTATGTGAACCCATATGCTATATTTTTCAAAATTATACATAATTATATATATATATATCAAGGTGTAGACGGGAGACCCCGCAAGAATGACAATGTCGCCTGTGAAGATTTTTCGGATGAGCCATGATGAGCCTTAAGTCATGTAGCTGGGAGGGATCCCGATCGATGGAAATCTAAGGTGAGGTGCCCCCTTCAACCAATAAGGTCTTCAGGTTACCACAGCATCAAGCCGTGTGTGGGCTCAGCCCAAGAAGCTCTCCTATGATTGCGCACCTTTGGGGAACCAATAGATAATTTATTATAATTTATTAGTATCAGATTAAAATGATTAAAATCCCATCAACATCCCATCCAGTCCATCTGACATTAGGATTTTAATCAATGGGATGCTGACATGTCAATGGCTTTTATTGGCATGATATGAGATGTTGACATGTCAATTAGTATCAGATTAAGTCACATAAACATCTCATTGACATTCCATTAAAGCCAATTGCCATGTCAAGTTCTTCAGGTTGACACGGACCTGCTTTGCCCAAGATGTCACAAGTGCCGCACCTCAGCCGTATGGTGCCATGGGAGTGCACAACTGAAGACTGACTGGGAGTCCTTGTTTGTTTATTTAGTTGTATACTTCAAGTGAACTTACCCTCTGGTAAATCAACATAGACCCTGAAAATCACCAATTTTTAGTGGAAACTAGTCTTCCAACCCCTATCTGCCAGGGTCTATGTTAATATACCAGAGGGTATATGTATGGGTGGAGTGATTCATTTGTATACAGTGTATACAGATGATTGCAGATGCCGATGCACATTTCTGTGTACATTGCATGTATTTGTGTATGCAGGTCTATTTGTGTGTATTCGTCAATGGGCTGCTTCAAAGTACGAAGAGCAATTTTTGTTGGAATAATTGAGATTCTGGCGATTAGTCTCACGCTGTTGATCTGAAGACCATAGGTCGACTTTGTTGATTCCCGCAGAGAAATCCAGTGGTTCATCCAGTTGTTTCAGCCAGAAATCTCTGGAGAGATCAGCAGCCTGCAATGAGGTGCGTTCGGGCAAGCATCTATGCAGACCACGAGGCACCCTGATCCCACCCTGCCAGCTCTGCACCGGATCGATTCGACGTTTCTACGTTCGACGTCAGGTGAGGTGTTCCATGCTATGCCGGATGCGGAAGATGAGGCATTTCCCCCGGGAGGTTGAAGGAGTCACATGACTGGGTGTTTTTTTTTCCAAAAAAAGCATCATTTGAGAATCAAACAACCGGAAAGGTCAGATGATCATAGGGCTTGTAGCATGTTGTAGCCATGAAGAATGGGAATGCAACATGGTGTAACATGATGCAACATCATGTATATAACTTAAGCATAATTTATCATAAAGGGATGTGAATTCAACAACCAAGGGGGTTAAAGATGTTAAAGATGGCTTGAAGCTGTCAACAGGCGGATAGCGGATCGCAGCAATGGTGGCCTATGGGGTGGCGGGTGGCATAAAGTTTTTTCCTCTATATATATAGGTGCTATTTCTCACCCATTCTATCAAACAACCAGTGGAAGCAACTTCACCATTGGTTTTGGATCCTGCTAATTTGATGGTACAATATGTTTTCTCCTGGGGTTTCCGCCTAGGTTAGTTGCGATGTTTTTTTCTTCTGAGTGGCTGGCAAGCCAGTTTGGGAACCCGAACTACATTGGTTCTCTGAAAAGAGTGCGATACGAGGCGTGTTATTTTCGCATCGCGGGCCCTATCCTTTTCCATTCGCGCATTGCACCAGGGAGCAGCATGCGTGCCACCCTCAGCGGGAATCTCTCTGTGAATGGCTTGAGCCATCACAGTATTGATCTGGGCGACGGTTGAGTCTATATAGATGTGGTGCGGTGTGTGCCCATGATGGATTGTCCACCTATCACCCGTTACTGCTTCGAAAGGAAAGGGAACAGTTTTATGACCTGAAATCTCTTGATCATTAGAAGGGTATCTTTAACCACCAGATTACCAGATTGTGCAAAGCTTTCCCCAAGGATGATGCTTCCCATATAGAATTTGTTCATTCAAACTATCAAATGTCATTTGATTCCATATCAAAGGATGAAATAACAAACAAAGACCAAGAAGAAGTTTACAAATCACACTCCGCCCCCGGTGCTTATTTGTGATCCCAGGTATCAGGAGCAAGCGATGATTGATTCCTTGCAGCAGCAGCGGGCTGCGGCCTTCTCATGTAGGTGCCAGCGGTGGCCGGTAGCTGAAATGGTCAGTGGTCGCTGTGCAAAGCGGTGCAAAGCGGTTGGTTGCTGTGAACAATTTTCAAGCGGCCTCGCATCTGCTTCCAAATCGTACCTTGGAAATCGTGAGAAAGACCGGACACATCAAGTTAAATAATTTTGAATACACATCAAAATTGCTTGGCCCTGGTGATCTATATGGTTCTATATCACATATGAGTCAATATGAGTTATGTAGGTGGGAGCTCCTTCCAAGTAACTGACCCTGACCCTTCAACAGTTCAACGCCTAAACGCCGCAGGCGTTTGACTTGGACGGAAGTGAAATCTCCGCGGACATCGCCGAGATCCTTCACCAAGGAGTGCCCCAGTTGCCACAAGCAGATGCTGCTGCATAGTCTTCAGTACCACCTCCCCAGGCGGGCTCCGGGGACCAAGGTGGAAAAAAATGCCGTGGAAAAAATGGAAAAAAAGGTCATGCAGCTCTGTTTTTGGTTTGAAAGCCAATTTCGAAAAACTTTGGAACCACAGACAGGGGCCAGTCAAAATAGATGTGATTTATTTATTTATTTATAAATTATTAATTTATCAATTCATTTACTACTTAATTTATTTACTGATTTCTATTTCGTTTTAAGTTTCGGTTCTCATTAAAATCTTTATATTTTGGTTGTAACCTTTTTTTCCATTTCCAAAATTCATTTGTGCTCCATTCCTTGGACGCAAAAACGCAAATGGAAAACAACGAACACCAAAACCAAAACCGAAAAAAGGGCACCACAATCATATATATATTATATATAATCATATAATATCATATATATATACCATCATATATATACCTAGGCCTTCCGCAGGCCGCTTTTTCAGCCCGAAGCTGTTCAGGCTGAAATTTTAGCCCGAATGGTTTTTTTTCGCCTGGGGTGTTTTTTTCTGCCCGATTGTGTTTTTTTAGTGATTTTGATGATGTTTGGGTAAGATGCCCGCTCAAACTATATATTGTTGATATATTGTTGATAACAGTGTTAAAGAAGTTTACTGTGTTACATGAAAATCTCATTTCGGGTGTTTTCGCCTGTTTCGTGGGTGTTTTCGCCCGTTTCGTGGGTGTTTCCGCCCGAAAAAAAAAAAACACAATAAAAAACGGCGAACATCACCCACAGAGCATTTCTTTTCACCTGGATCGTCCACCAGGATCTTATCAGAATACCTCAAAATATGGATAAAATATGATAAAATCACTTTCCGCCTGAGTTTTCAGTTTCCTCCGCAGGCTGATATTTGAGGTCAGGCTGAAATTCAGGCCCTTTGGAAGATACAGGTATATGTATATATATATATAATGGCACCATATTTTCAATTTTCCAGTCTCTAGCTTCGCCAGTTTTTTCTAACCAAAACAACGTGAAGTGTGATCAAGATTGATCAAGGGTCTTTGCGACAGCTACTCTCTAGGGAACAAACGTATCCACTTTTTTGTGGAAAAAAAGTTTTTTTGGATACGTTAGCTGCTGTGAACATAGGCTATGATAAATGCCCTATACTTGAGACATGTTAGTTGAAAATCCAGAATGGACATGTTAGTGGAAAAGTTGTCCTCCCCTCTGGGGGTTCCCGGGAAACTGCCAGAAGACTACCGCCCCGGACGCCCCAGCATCTTTATTTCCAGACCCCAATAGGGCTCAAATCAAAGACCGCATTGACAACAAAACGGTGGAGAAAAAAGGGGTCCCAACTCCTTCCGGAAGAGCGCATCATAGATGATGCTCGTGGGTGGGCAGGAAGATTGGGGGTGCATTCCAAAAACCAGTTGCATTTACTAAGGGTTGGATGACTGGCCATGGAAAGCGTCCACCTAACGTGTCCGTGTTGTTCAGAGGATGTGGTTTTGAGATATGTGAGTGGTTATTGGCTGAACCTATCCCCCCAAAATAGCGAACATATCCCAGATCAGGGTCGAAATCCAAGGGCCCCAATTGCAGGAACTGAGACATGTTAGCTGTTTTTGGGTCAATGGTCCCAAAAAAAGTTGCAATGCATTCCCCAGGAAATCCAGGAAAACGCCAGTACAGAGTGGACATGTTAGTGGAAAAGTTGTCCCCCCCTCTGGGGGTTCCCGGGAAACTGCCAGAAGACTACCGCCCCGGACGCCCCAGCATCTTTATTTCCAGACCCCAATAGGGCTCAAATCAAAGACTGCATTGATAACAAAACGGTGGAGAAAA